TTTTGATGGCGTTGGGTTAATTTTCCGTGAAGCATTCAATTGAAATGTCGCTTTCGTTATCAGCTTCTTCAAAGCTTATAATGAAGAGGAATGAGCAATTCAAATTTATAGGCTGATGAGGTTCTTTTAAATCTCAGGTCCTTTAGTTTGTTATGTCTACAATAGCAGTCCATTTGGCCGATTTCGCGCCCACGGCGGTGACATTAACTTCAAATGATCGTTTTATTGTGCCTTAGAAAGGTATATGTTGACAAAATGTTTCCTTAATATAAAGAAGATGTAGTTATTTGAAACTGTCTTCACTAAATGAACTTAATAACTCTTGAAACCGAGCTGAGTGCATAATAAAAAGAGGGTAAATTAAAACGTACTGCCTGTCCCGGTAGCTCCATTAGTCGTACCACAGGCCAACCACCCTTTTAGGTGTGGCCAGCATTGAAGAAGAAGATACCCAGAGTTGAGGGGCTTTGCCCCCTTTGATGAGGTTCTTTTAAATCTCAGGTCCTTTAGTTTGTTATGTCTACAATAGCAGTCCATTTGGCCAATTTCGCGCCCACGGCAGTGACATTAACTTCAAATGATCGTTTTATTGTGCCTTAGAAAGGTATATGTTGACAAAATATTTCCTTAATATAAAGAAGTTGTAGTTATTTGAAACTGTCTTCATTAAATGAACTTAATAACTCTTGAAGCCGAGCTGAGTGCATAATAAAAAGAGGGTAAATTAAAACGTACGGCCTGTCCCGGTAGCTCCATTAGTCGTACCACAGGTCAATCACCCTTTTAGGTGTGGCCAGCATTGAAGAAGAAGATACCCAGAGTTGAGGGGCTTTGCCCCCTTTTATGAGGTTCTTTTAAACCTCAGGTCCTTTAGTTTGTTATGTCTACAATAGCAGTCCATTTGGCCAATTTCGCGCCCACGGCAGTGACATTAACTTCAAATGATCGTTTTATTGTGCCTTAGAAAGGCATATGTTGACAAAATATTTCCTTAATATAAAGAAGTTGTAGTTATTTGAAACTGTCTTCATTTAATGAACTTAATAACTCTTGAAGCCGAGCTGAGTGCATAATAAAAAGAGGGTAAATTAAAACGTACGGCCTGTCCCGGTAGCACCATTAGTCGTACCACAGGTCACCACCCTTTTAGGTGTGGCCAGCATTGAAGAAGAAGATACCCAGAGTTGAGGGGCTTTGCCCCCTTTGATGAGGTTCTTTTAAATCTCAGGTCCTTTAGTTTGTTATGTCTACAATAGCAGTCCATTTGGCCAATTTCGCGCCCACGGCGGTGGCATTAACTTCAAATGATCGTTTTATTGTGCCTTAGAAAGGTATATGTTGACAAAATATTTCCTTAATATAAAGAAGTTGTAGTTATTTGAAACTGTCTTCATTAAATGAACTTAATAACTCTTGAAGCCGAGCTGAGTGCATAATAAAAAGAGGGTAAATTAAAACGTACTGCCTGTCCCGGTAGCTCCATTAGTTGTACCACAGGCCAACCACCCTTTTAGGTGTGGCCAGCATTGAAGAAGAAGATACCCAGAGTTGAGAGGCTTTGCCCCCTTTGTAATAGATCCGAAATTGGTGATGAATTCCACTGTAGGTTGAAATGTAGCTCACTCATCACTTTTGCATATAAGGGGTACCTTCTTGGAGAGCCTATACTCGATAAACAGCAATTTGACGAATATGTCTTGCAAGGCACTTTTTTAATATACTATCATGTCTATGTGCGATGAAAACATCATAAATCTTAGTGCCTCTTATGTTGAAAATGTTTTAAATTGTTATAAATCCGTACTCTGATTTAACTTTCTTATGATACGAGTAGCGTAGAAGCCGTACATAGCCAAGTATTTTTATTTTACTTTGTTTCATTTGTTATTATGTTGATTGTTTTGTTACTGAAATCTTCATGTCGAAGATAAATTCAATAAAGTTGTTGTTGTTATTGTTATGACTTGGCAGACAGATAGTTGAAATTTGCCCCAAAATACAAGTAAAAACACTGCCAATAGAAATGTTCGTGAGAAATTTAAATTATTTCAGTTGAGACACGTTCCTTCCATTTACACAATCCAAGGCAAGTTGTCATCATGCCAGATCGCCGTCCGGAGAGTAAAGACTCTTGAAAGTGCTTAAAGAGGAGGAGAAAGTTGGCAGCCACGCAGTTTTAGCCGGCGGCCGCAACCTCGTCTCGATCAAGCTGGTGCAAAATGTTCATCTTTGCCTTGACCGAGTGAGAGATTCATCCCCTCTAGAAAAAACAAATTCTGAAGTAGTATGTGCAGCTTGTTTTGAAACTCGCGACCACAGACAGACGACCCTCTTTTCATATATTTTTGTTGTTAACAAATCTGAGCATCAATTTAGAGACCAGGTGGTCGCAAGTTGTAATTTCCTTGAATGTAGAAAGGGTTCGATAAAAGCTCAAATGATATATATGAATTGAAAGAGGGTGTTCAAGCTCCTACGCAGGAAGACGGCCCTTTTAAAGACTAGAAAGCTCTGCATGACCATATTTAATTGATAGTCATTAATGGTAATTAAACTGCGCAGACGGAGTGCAATTTCGTCTGATATCATACCTTTGATTTTAGAACAGATTTTGCACGACATGTGGCCACTTCAGTTCATCCATCCATAATTATAGGATCAATGTTTGATTTATCGATCCGTTTATAGCTGGCTGGAAAAAAAATGGAACCGAAAACGCTGTTGAGAGGGAAATGGTTATGGCTCTTGATCACTGACATTGCCGAGAGCCATGCTGGTATCAACAGTAATTTCAAAATGGGTGTAAGGCCTAGAGTACAAACCGAACTAAAAATCAATCGAACACAATCAGTCTGATTGTTGTTCGATTGGTTCGGTAATCGAACATAATCGAGCTGGAACTTTTCGGTGAGTTCGATTAACGACTCAGTCGAACCAATCGAACAAAATCGACGCGATTTGTCCTATTTTCCTCGGCAAAAAAACGGTATAAAAATCAGTGAGAATTTAATTTTAATTAAATCGGAAAAATTTCCCTCTTAGCTAGGTATGACAACGTAAAGACATTTCAATTGACTAAAATCGTTATTGTTTAAGTAGAATTAATACGTTAAGTGCGACGGGAGTGGGCGGTCAATGGCCAACGCACAAGCATCGGTTCACATGCCAAGTTCAAGCTGGCGAACGCCGCCACCGTCCGTACAAGGTTTTTTTACCGTTCTGAGCTGGACCCCTCGTTCGATTATCTTCAATTGCTAAATTGTTCGATTTCCGAACGTTCCATTGGGCTTAGTAGGCAGACGCGTTGGGTGAGTTCGATTACCGAACCCAATCGAAGTCAATCGAACGATTGGAGTTCGATTGGGCTCGATTTCCGATACCCTGCAAATACACTGTAATTATTAGGGAGTTATTATAACTCCAAAAATGGAGTAAAAATTTTAGGTACATAGGATACCGTAAAATTCCGAAAATAAGCCCCTCTATGTATAAGCCCCTCCAAATATAGGCCCCCCAAACTCGTAACGCAAAAAGCCCTCCGTTAAATCGCCCCTCCGAATATAAGCCCCCCGGGGGCTTGTACTTGGAAATTGCCCTCAAATACAAACTAAAATAAAGCAAAAACGGTCAATTTCCTTCCAGCTATAAGGCTAGACCAATCGATTTTGAAACGCAAATTTCCCTCCATAGATTATCCCCTCTGAATATAAGCCCTTCCATAAACAAGCCCCTCAAAAAGGGCCTTTCAAAAATATAAGCCCCAGGGCTTATTTTCGGAATTTTACGGTAACGCTTTTTTGGGGGTTACTTCAACTCCTAATTTAACTCCAAATTTGGGGTCATTTTTACTCCTGAAAAAGAGTTCTTTTTACTCCCAGTCTGGAGTTAAAATAACTCCGAAAATGGGGTTATTTTTACTCCTTACGTGGGTTGGTTTTTCCTCTTTTTGGAGTTACTTTAACTCCTAAAGTGAAGTAAAAACTTTAGGTACAGGATAACTCCTTTTTTGGGGTTATTTTAACTGTTCAATATCTGGGATCATTTTTACTCCTGAAAAAGAGTTCTTTAGACTCCTTTTTGGAGTTAAAATAACTCCCCTAAAAATAACTTCACTGTAAGGAGTTAAATTAACCCCACTGGAGGAGTTATTATAACTCCTTGAAAATTACTGTGTATAGGGTAGGAATATGATCTCAAACGGCGGGCGCACTTCTGAAAACACTGTCGAACACAAGACGAAATGCGTCATTTTTTGTGTCTAAAGCTTTTTTATGTTCCAGAAACATCTACATTCACTAGATAGTGCGAACTGATTAGATAAAATATCTTTTCATAAACAAGTTTTAGTATGGGGAGATTTTACACGTAAAATTGTCAATGAATAGTTCTCTGGTGAACTGTCTGTCTAACTCTTGAGTATGTGGATAAAATCTTATGATGTAACCATTTAAAGGGAAGCTACTTTCCTGTGGTACTGTTGATTAAGCTGTACAAGGTTGTTCTAATCTAGCCTCCCAGGTCTGTAGGTGAAATCCTAATACTTGTCAATACTTTTGTTTCCGTCAATGTGGACCAAGGAAGTAGAAAACATTCCTGGTGATGGGATTTTTTTTAACGTGCCATTTAGTACAACATGCATACTATACGGTATAAGTGATTCTTCCTTTCGAGTTATTGAACAATAAGTCAGTTGTTTAATCTAAACCTGCTTGAATCGATTGCATTGGGTATTTATATATACATTGTTATGGAGAGCTAATGTAAATAACAAGCTTTTGGAGTTTTCCAGTCACGCGATGTTTGTACTGGAACTTTCTATCGTCACGCAATAGAACCGTCTAGAACATTCTGCTGGATGATGAAACTCACGATGTGATGTCACAAGAATAGTAGTCTGGTAAGCTCTTAGAACTATCTAGAATATGAAATGACTGTATATAAGGGCTTAGCGTGCTTTGAGTTAGTTGTTGTTGTTACGACAGAGATTGATAGGAGAGCTATGCTGGGAAAGCTATAGCAGTTTGCTGCGGAGTACTTTGAAGTTGACAAGTGGCTCCAGGACGTTTGGTGATAGCAGTGTCTACTGTGAGTTTGTGTTAGTGGCGACTGAAGGTTAATAATAGGCTCTAAGTAGTTTATAGTAAGGTTGTATTGTGTGAGAGTCGCTCCCAAGTTGTAGTTATCACTTGAAGTATAGTTAATTAAATTAGTTGACGTTAGGGAGTGTTTTTTTGTATTTTTCTGTCGGTTGAATTATACCGTAACAATATCAATGATCTGTGAAACTGGTCTCTGGAGTAAAAAGCGTCATGAGTTAGGACTTGTTTGGAGCCGCTACAATAATGAAAATCACCTAACATTCACGTTTCAAAGAATTTATTGTAATAAATAATTGAAAGACCTTAATTACAATATGCGAAACCCTATGTAAAAGCTTAACAGATAAAAACAAACTATTACATCCAAACTAATTCGATACAAATCAAACGTTGTAAAAATATTCAATTATATTTTTTATCGGGATACTTTTTAACATAACTAAAATCCGATTGCATATTTTTTCTGCTTTTCCTGCAATAATTACTTATCTAAAAATCAACTGTAAATAGTATATACAAGCAATCTACATACAAGCTGTAAAAAAGCTAAGAATTCGACTAATCATATACTGATTTAAACAATGATTATTACATTGCCTAAAATATGAACAAAGGTCAAAACTAAAGCACCAACATTTCCAAAGTTTCCTTATTTATTGATAGTTACTGCTTTGTGAAAAATTGCTTCCTTGCCTCGACAACACGTTATCGAAGAGTTAATAATAATATCTTGTGATTTTTTGCACCCTGTAGTGAGCATTTTGCTCTTTCTTATGTACGACCTATATACATGCACAATATGGTAATAATACTTACACTTCTCTACATTGTTTCTTAATTTTTTACAACAGTTTCCAGTTTTTTTTGTACAACTTGTTCTTGCTTACTCACTGTAGCAAGTGTGGCTCGACTTAACTATTTACATTTTGTAAGTCACATAATTTACTTGTGTTGTTTTTGGAAAACAAACTGAGCTACGATTTTTATCGACACGTGGTTTAAGACTAAATTTTGTTTAACTCTTTTGCTTCAAGATTAAAATCTCTTTCCTAAAAAACGTTGCTCCCATAGGGAGCAATAAAATATTGTAAACGTATACATAGTATACACTTTTTAAACCACCGTACTTTTTTTCACAGAAAAAAGGTACAGAAAGAACGTCTTTTTTTTCTTTTTTTGACACGCCGGAAAACTGTTAAGAATACATGATACATGTATTTCTTGCTCGAGAGCAGCTTTTCAATGAGTTCCACTATACTTGAGCTGTTTTAAGATTTTGTGACTAGATTTGTTAAAATTTGTAATGAGAAGTTATTGTCACAAAGCAATTTAAAATTCAGGTATGCAATTTTTTTATAATTATAATGATTGAAAACGCATTTTGTAGATAACATTCTTATTAAGGAAAGTGTTCAGTGATTTCGACTAATCACAGTCTGATTTACAAATTTGGAAAGCCATTGAAAAACCGCTCTCAGCATCCGGGAAAATGTTTGGTTACTTGATACAAGTTAACTTATAATGCTTCATAGAAGCTACTCTTGACATCAGTTTCAGGGAACCACGGGAAATCTGATGGGGCACTGGGGACAACTTGAGGGGGTGGGAAATCGACTGGAAAACCAATCGCTTGATTGATTACAGGAACGAAGACTGGGTCAGGAACAGGAACACCACACAGTGGATCCTCGAATAATGATGACTCGAGAACAGGAAGCCCACCACACCATGAAGTAGGAAGAGGAGTGCCATAGGTCGGAATAGAGGGAGGCATCGGACACACTGGTTGAAAGAAACACTCTGGGCCAACTGGGACGCCATTCTTTATACTTAAATCAGGAACTGCATCACTCGTGCTAACAGAGAAGTTATTGTCTAGTAAAGAATCAGGTAAAAGAACGTCGGCAACAGTTGTTGTCTCAGGAACAGGGTGTGGAACAGTCACACCACTGCTCTGGCCAAAAACAGGTAGCCCACTTTTCGAGGGAGCAACTGCGGGGATTCCATCAGAGGGATCATAACCGAGGATTTCAGAAATGTCCCAGACAAACTGGTAGGTATTTTCTCGACCAGGAACCTTCTCCAACATCGACTTGCCGTAATAATATCGCAAGCCACGAGCGAGTTTCTCAAAGTTCATGGCTGGCTTCTTTTTCACTTTTCCCCATAACTCTGCCAGCTTTTTTGGCTGGAGAATCCTGAAGCCATATTTCTGCTCTCCAGTCCATTCAACAAGGCCTGATTCGAGCTCAGAACTGGGAGGTGATACGAGAAGCTTAAGAATCAGCTGCCATAGCTGCATTGGACCATTGCCTAAGAAAATATAAAAAAATAAAAGATATATAAGCTTATCACTTCAAAATAATTATTTATGAGATGCTCTCTGTAGATTCAAATTTTTAAGTCTGAGATTGAAATCCTATGGTGATGGTGTGACAATTCAACTGAAACATCTTAGTTTGACCCAACTGCATGACGTTTTGCAAACTTTTATTTGCTTTCAGTTTTCAGCGAAACGAAATTTGGATATTTTTCTTGAGTCTGAATAATAAGGCACTTCAGGCGGACGTTACTAGAGTTATAATGAGAAGTCAAACATTTTGCGGAAAAGAGAGCAAATTTTTGTCTGCTTCCTAATAACTTATTTGCCAATTTAATCAATGTATGAAGTCGCATTTCTTGAAATTAATTTTGTAACGTACCTTCATACATAATTCTGGGCTTGGGACCTCGGTTTCGTTTCTTCTTTGGCTTGGGACTAGATTCATCCACTGTACTTGTTGCTGCTGGAAAAAAAACAAACAAACAAACAACCATGAGCGTTTCAAACGGTTTAAAACGAGTCTCAGCTAAAGCTTCGGACAAACGTCTCTTCAAAAGCAAAACTTAACACATGTAATTAAGGGGGAAATATTTTCATTCTGGAAAAAAAATAATAAATTTTTCGCGAAAAGCACTCTATCTCGGTTTAATGGCAAATTTTCTGAAGAACTCACCTCTTTTAGTGCTTTTTTTCTTGCTTCCAAGCCGAACTTCTCCGGTGGAGAACTCTTGATTATAGTCCACGGAGGAACTTGGAGATCCTGAAGCACTGCTCATGCTTTCAAAGCCTTCTGAAGAAAAAGACGACATGTTTAGAATCATATTTTCCATTGTTGTCTTCACGTACGTAGGTCACTACACGAAGGAATGACGATTATCTAAGTTCTTTCGGTCCCTGTTAGTTATGACTTGGTTTTTGTAGATCTGAGACTTGAAATGCGAGACTTATATAAAATTTGTTGAACCAATTCAAATAATAAGCTTCAGTACTGAGCAGCACTTTCCTGTAGTACTGTTTATTAAGCTGTGCAAGGTGATTCTAACTATTGAGTCTGTGGATGAAATCCTAAAGTGTTAACCATTCAAATGAAAGTTACTGAGCCGTACTTTCCTGCGGTACTGTTTATTAAGCTGTGCAAGGTGATTCTAACTATTGAGTCTGTGGATGAAATCCTAAAGTGTTACCATTCAAATGAAAGCCGTACTTTATTAAGCTATTTAAAATGTTTAGAAGAGTGGTTTTCTTACCATTGAGGTCATCATAGACGTTGTCAATGAAGCCATTGTCCAGTCCTGGAGATGGCGGCGAAGACATGTAAGCCGAATCAATTGATGACATTGATTCCGCCGGCGATGTCGTCCGTCTTTGCCAAGTCAACTGAGATGTAACCTTAACACGACTTGAGACGTCTGTAGAAAATGAAAATATGCTCGAAATTATTTCGTTATTCAGCTATACAAATTCAGTTGGTTTTCTTTCTTTGGGTTAAAAATTATTGCACACTTCTATTATATCTATTTCTATACAACACAAGGGTATTTCCGCCTGATGAATTTTTTTCCCGAAAAAGGATGTTTTGGCATTAAAAAATTCCCCTCTTTCATTTTCCACAACCTTGATAACCTAAAATAATTTCATTTAGTGTTTTCGTTTTGCCCTGAATTTCGCTCCCTCCATAACTAAAACTTAACAGACGATAAGCGTAAATAGATCACTTTTGTAAGGTTGAAATGTTGCAAGATTAATTTTTAAACCTTTCACTGAAAGATTAACATTCATAATTAGTTTTTGGAGCATTGCGAAATACCGAATAGGTTTAATTGATGCCGAGGACGTCACGTATCATGAAGTATTTTTAGTCATGACTCATCACCTAAAAATATCTTTAGCACAGATCCAATGGATTCAATGTTTACACCCTAAAAATTTAAGTACAGGGTTTTTTCAAACTTTTACTGCTGACTCTAAACTCCAAGCTATTATCTTTTTTAAGCATAAAATAGAAAACATATAGAAAACATATCTTAGCTTAAAAGTTTTAAAAAAAGTTCGTGGAGTGAAAGAATAACAGACTGAAACATTATTTGTTTCTTTGAAGGAATCAGTAGTTACGAAAATCAAATTTTACACCGTACCGTGTTCTGAGTTGTGACCAATGGTTAACGCTTCGCTTGCCGTCATCGTCCGTGAAAATATTCTACTGAACTGAGTGTGTATTGCTTGACACTCTTTATTAGTGTTAAGCGTCTGGCATAATGCTTTACGTTGATGGTACTGAGTGAGGTCCACGATTCCTTTCAGGTAGTCATGAATCTAAATAGAAATAACAAAAAGTCAAAAAAGTCTTTGCTGAGGCCTCGACAACTCTTGTAAGAGACCAGACGGGCCCCTGAGGTACCCAGGGGCGACCACCATGAAAAGATACCGATTGAAGCAATTCTCAGTTAACATTTTATGCTTTCCCGATTGATGATGTCTTGATGAAAAGCAATCGCCTCGGAGGCGTTATCCGCGTAAGATCCGACTCATATTCCATGTCTTCCATGGCAGAGAACAGACGAAAAATAATCGTAACAGCGCAAACTTTTTTCTAGTGGCTGTTATTTACCACCAGATGTAGTCTACAAAATTATTGGAACCGTTGTAGGCTTAATATTTGAGTTTTCCGGCTACTAGAACCGTGGAAAATCATGTCAATAAAAGCAGTTCATATCAAGAAACAAATGCAACGTTTGGTAGGATCTGGGCTTAACAATATACCGCCAACGCTTGCCTCAATTAGACCGGGTTGGGGCTTCGCTCCGAATATTATTGTGACAACTAGGTTGTCAATAATACTTTAGCTGGTTGCTGGTTTAAAAAAAGAGTTCGCCGATTCTCAGAAAATGTGACTATCAGGATGTTTCAGAGGATCGAAAAGCGACGAAGCAAAATGTCAATGTAAGCGGTAGAAATTGATGTGAAGATTACTTACGTTAGCTATTTCTAGCTGAACCGATGTTGTTCGATCATTTGGAGACGCCATCCATGTAAAGTCTTCTGTAATCACAAACTTTCTCACTAAAGTCTTGCCTGCTTGTGTTGTTCACGATCGCTGCTAGTCGGTTCTGACCTGCTTCTAGGTCTGTTCGCGTGATTAATACGAATTGAAATGAGGCTTTCATAGAATTCAACTTCTTAAATGACTAATTATTCCGAATGACGTCAATCGTTCTGACGTAAAGTGGAATGTCGTGACCTTCACTTCACAGTGACGGGACGGTGGTCTGAAAAAAAATAATTGAAAATTTCAAATACAAAAGATTGCATAAGCTTGAAAAATGTTTTACGTTGTTTATGTTTATGTTGCCTGGGGGAGACATTATGTTCTGTTCTGGTCTATTCGCTTGGATGAAGGCAATTTTCAATCTGAATGTTGTTTTGACGTAGATCCGCGGGTCTTGAAATAGTACACTGTTTAACTATTAATTGCAGACTAACTCCAGATTCTTCGCTTTGTTACACTCAATATATAATGCTACATTTTAAAACTTTTCAGCCTATCTAAGATTACAATTGATCATTAGTTTACCATCGGGTAAGCTTTTTGTGTCTTTTGATCGCAGAGGGAAATGTCTTAAAAGACCTCCTTGAAGTGAAATTGTGCAATTTCATAAATAAGTCAAGCCTATTATTTTATGGAAATTCCAATTTCATCTAAATTTTTGTTGATTTACGAAAACAAGCGTGCTAATTTTGTGATGTAAATAAATTAAATGACGCAGCCAAATAACAGTAAGATCAATAGCTTATTTCAAAGTCTTGCAGCAGACCTACTTTGCAATTTTTGCAATGATTTCGCCTATTTTCAATGTTAGGCACTTTTGCTTTTAGGCTCTGTGAATGTTTGGCTGGGCAAAAGTTCTCTCCTGACAAAAGCCTCGTTCGATTCAGCGGCCTGACAAAAGGTTCTGAGGGGTTCTTTATTTAGGTTCTATGACCTTTCTTGTGGCTTATTTCCAAGGTTGGATTAACGACAAGGCTTAAAAAACCAATCAGCGTTAACATGACAAGGTAAGGTTGGGTGGGGTGGGTGGGGTGGGGTGTACTGATCCACATCACCCCTGTCAAATTGTATTTTTTAGTAGGGTCGCTCCTTCAGTACTTTCGACCGAAAAAATTTCTTCACTACCCTTTGAAGATTATACAATATCGTTGAGCCTTAATTAAGAAAAATAACAGTCGAAAGTGTTAATCAACTACATTTAAACTGTGACCACCCTTCACGGGAGTTCCATGCTGAGTACAGAGTCCCTCAGGCAATTTCACGTGGTTTATTTAAAAAAAAAAAATTCATTGTGGCACTTTAAATTCCTCGTGGTTGAGGGTTTTTCATTCTCTGGTTTCAATGTGATCCACACATCGTATTAGAACTGCCTTTTAACTTCAACTCAACTCAACATTCTGTCACGCATAACAAATATTATCTTTCCATTTTTGTAGATCTCACAGATCCTAATCTTTAAAAGAGTGGGCCGTTTTGATTGACAGCTTGGATATGTTAATGTGCCATCGCTTGGTCGGTGGGTCGATTGGAACGTTTTAAAGTTAGGACCCTAACACGCGATTGAGTATTCACGTGTTCTTCGCCCTCTTTTTTGTTGCGTGACTTTAAAGTGCACATGAGCTGAGAGTGTGTTCAGCTTCTTTACGGGGATCGGTTCTGTTTTGCTGGTTTCTCGAATGTTAATGGAACTTTATAAAACTTTGCAGCCCGTGAGAAGCTTTCTATTTTTGGGGCTCTCTTGCTAACGTCATTAGGAACGTTGCCATGGGAACAGGGTACAAGTCAGTTTAACGCGAAACTCTCGCCAGTCCAAGGTCACCGGTATTAAAAAAGTCCTTAGTCTCCACTAAACTTTGAGAAAACCTGTGGAGTTTTATTTTAACAACTTTACGAGTTAGGAGTTTTTCTTAACAATCTACAGCAACAACCAGCCAAGGAACTGGAAAAAAATTCCATTGTTATTACGGGGGTATGGGGCAGGAGCCGATTGCCCGTCTTCTTGATAAATGTTTTTAAATTTTATATGATTAATTTGATATAAATTGTACATATTTTTTAGGAATTTTAGATTCCTAAGTCTTAATTATGATAATTTTACTTTATTTTAATTAGCTTTGTTTTAGTGTCCCCAATTAGTACTGTAATGTACTAGAATTTTATAACACTTAAATAAAGGTTTCATCATCATCATCTCGCCTCGGCATGGGGGCCCGGGCAAGGGGGCCTCAATCCCGCCTGATGTGTCGGGGACCTGTCTCATATATTTCTCCATAACTTAGTTGAAGTACTAATACAGGGCGTCACCGAATTGTTTGCGTTTACAGGTAATATTTGCAGACTTTCAGCAATTTGGATTGGGTTCATTTTTGAAGTTTTTATGATACTTGCCTGCTTGCCAACAAATTCAAAGGATTTTTCTTGGCTTTGAGGTTATCACAGTTCGAATCAGAAAACAAAGCGATTACGTTGTTCCCTTCGAAAATCAATTCTTATAAGGTTCTGTTCCATCTCTCCGTTTATATGATTAAACTAACATGAAACTAAAATAGGCAAGTAACTGAACACTTTCTTAATAATCTTAAACTATCTGACACAATACGTTATTAAATCTGAGAGTGGCCCAAAAACAAACGTGACGAAATGTAATCTGAACTTGGCTACCTTTACGTATGACGCTATGAACGTCATTCCTCTTGAGTATATGGCTACATAATTCCCTTAAATAATTTCATAAGTTTATGTTTTAAATAGTATGTTTCACTTGGAGAAAGCCAGTTTGGATGGGCAAAGTATTATTTCTGCAGCATTTTTTGCCTCTGCTTGAGAATGCTCGTGGAAATGCGCTTTTATCTGTCTCTCATTTGTCCTGTGCGTTATGCTCTTTTCTGGAAAGGTCTAATTGAAATCGTGACCGTTTCAACCGTTGCGCAATCATTATCTCGAAAACATTGCGCAAGTCTAATTTTCAGTGAGCGTGACCAAGTCTAAATTTAGCATCTCCACCCAACTGACCTGATATCAAGCATGGTTATAAACAAACCACAACCGACGATGCGTCAGTTCAAATGATGCATCAAAATAGCAGTGGATAAAGGTCTTACAAATTAATCAGTAATCATCTGAGTGGATCTAACTGTACCAGGAGCCGATTACTTAATCGGCTCCTGACTGTACATTTTTTATTTGGGAAAAAATGTGTAAAGAGATGTTGTGGCCTCTAATGATCGGCAAACTGCGATGTCTCTCAAGGACATTTTTTTAACGTTCCCGCAGGAGTTATTCCTTCAAAAAATATTTCCAAAATGATGAAAATCACCTCCTTTGTGTTATTATTTGCATATCCTGGCTCTGGACAAAGATGGAAGAAACTGGAAATTCCTCTTGTATGGCATATTACAGGTAAAAAATTCTACGATTCTAGCTGACCATGGAGCACTGGCTAACAGAAGCTCAGCCCGCTCGCGGTAAGTGTTACTGAAACCGCTGACAGTAAAAAGGCCTTTGCTTATCAGTCACCCTTTTGCTGAAGACTAGAGGTCTTGTTCACAAGCTGGCGAGGACGTAGCCCTTACCTCTGTTGCCGGGAATCCCCTTGAGCCAAGCGAAAGCTGACTGAACCTCGGGTAGGTTCATCTTCTAATTATCAGACTAGTCACCTACATCATTTGGACAAAGGGGTTTATCTTATTGGGAAATTATTTAGCCTATTCATGACTAGTCATCGTCAAGTCATTCTCTTTTGCCATCGTTGTGAAGGGTTCTTGATTGGGACATTTGACTGCTAATCATTTTAGGGACAATTCTTGGTGCTACCCTCTTAATGATCTTCTCCTATCTGCCAGTACAAAAAGTTGAATGAGTATCAATGAACAACTTTTAAACGAAAGCTTGTTCCGAAAGAAAACGAAAGCTACATCAGAACTTAATTATCAAAGAACGTATGTTGTCTTAAATCTCATAATATTGTGGCAAACCTATGGGTCAATGGTGTTACAAACATACATACTATAGAACTGTTTCACAGGTACTATGACTTTGTCACATGATGAAAATAACAATGACAATGATAACTTGATGATAATGACAATGAAAATGACAATGACAATGATAACTTAATGATAATGACAATGACAATGATAATGATAACTTAATGATAATGACAATGACAATCATAATGATAACTTGATGATAATGACAATGACAATGATAAGGATGAGGACAAGGACAATGATAAGGATAATGACAATGAAAATGAAAATGACAATGATAATGATAACTTGATGATGATGACAAGGATGAGGACAATGACAATGATAATGATAATGCTAATGACAATGACAATGATAAGGACAAGGACAATGATAATGATAATGATAATGACAATGAAAATGACAATGACAAGGATAACTTGATGATGATGACAATAAAAATGACAATGACAAGGATAACTTGATGATGATGACAATGACAATGACAATGACAATGATAACTTGATGATAATGACAATGACAATGATAACTTGATGATGATAACAATGACAATGACAATGATAACTTGATGATAATGACAATGACAATGATAACTTGATGATGATAACAATGAAAATGACAATGACAATGATAACTTGATGATAATGACAATGAAAATGACAATGACAATGATAACTTGATGATGATGACAATGACAATGACAATGACAATGATAACTTGATGATAATGACAATGAAAATGACAGTGACAATGATAACTTGATGATGATGACAATGACAATGACAATGATAACTTGATGATGATGATGACAATGAAAATGACAATGACAATGCTAACTTGATGATAATGACAAGGACAATGAAAATGACAATGATAACTTGATGATGATGACAATGAAAATGACAATGACAATGATAACTTAACGATAATGACAATAAAAATGACAAAGACAATGATAACTTGATGATGATGACAATGACAATGACAATGGTAACTTGATGATAATGACAATGAAAATGACAATGACAATGATAACTTGATGATAATGACAATGACAATGACAATGATAACTTGATGATAATGACAATGACAATGATAACTTGATGATGATAACAATGACAATGACAATGATAACTTGATGATAATGACAATGACAATGATAACTTGATGATAATGACAATGACAATGATAACTTGATGATGATAACAATGACAATGACAATGATAACTTGATGATAATGACAATGACAATGATAACTTGATGATAATGACAATGACAATGATAACTTGATGATGATAACAATGAAAATGACAATGACAATGATAACTTGATGATAATGACAATGACAATGACAATGACAATGATAACTTGATGATGATGACAATGACAAAGACAATGATAACTTGATGATAATGACAATGAAAATGACAATGACAATGATAACTTGATGATAATGACAATGACAATGACAATGATAACTTGATGATGATGACAATGACAATGACAAAGACAATGATAACTTGATGATAATGACAATGAAAATGACAATGACAATGATAACTTGATGATAATGACAATGAAAATGACAATGACAATGATAACTTGATGATAATGACAATGACAATGACAATGATAACTTGATGATGATGACAATGATAATGACAATGACAAGGATAATGACAATGACAATGATAATGATAATGGTAATGCTAATGACAATGACAATGTCAGTGTCAATGACAATGACAAGGATAATGACAATGACAATGATAATGATAATGCTAATGACAATGACAATGACAATCCTAATGCTAATGACAATGACAATAATGATCTTAATTTTTGCAGGATGTCATAGACATAATATCTTATGTTACAAAGAGAGAAAAATGAGGTTAAAAAGGAATGAAGAAAGATGCAATAGAAACTATATTAAGGAATTTAACAACCGATATTGTTTGAACGTAAAAACCTGCCTGTTATAAAATAATCCAGTCTTTATTCCTGGCTTACCAACGCATCTTTCCTTAAAACTATAATCAAATTCTGTTGAATTTGGAAGTGATGGATTGTTGAGGAGAGGCAAGAGCCTGGTGGGAGAGGATACAAAACAAAGTGCCCGAAGAAAAACATTTCGTATTAGGACGTGTCATTATGGAGGGGAGGGAGGAAGCCTGAAGAAGTGCTTTCTTCACCACTACGCGCATGCGCCACTTCTGATCCCTGATTCCCGTTTAACGACTAGTTGCCAGTCCTTTTCTCCTCTTCTATCAACAAAGTCCACAGGAAGCCCAGGCTCGAAAATGACACTGTTGCCTAGCCTTCGAAATATGGTGATTTGTACGGAAACAACGATAGTTTCTGATACCTAAAAACAACAAAGAGATAAATATAAGAAACGGCCTGCCTTACGTAGGTTGTGTGTTGTAACTAGTCCCCTGAGATAGCAAACCGGTACCATTACTGAAAGCAATTAAATGATCCTGAATCACCGCGAGGACTTAGGGACCACGCAAGAAAAAAGAAGCATACACAGAAAGTGAGAAAAGGGGTTTCATATCTTAAAATCTTTCACAATTATAGGTTACAGAAACAATCTTTTTTTGCCAAAAAACCCTCTTATATTTTGAAGGATACGCAACGGTCCTAACACTCATATTTCTGACGGTGGTATACCTGTGCGGTTTCGATTAATCTTCGAATTAAAATAACCTACTTTTAAACCTAGTAAATCAAAACTGAACAAACCAAGATTAACGCGGGAGGAAATTTGTAAGGAAAGAACCTTTCCTCGTTTCATTTTCCTTTTTTCCAAGGGCATCGCTCAAAACGGCGGCTGGAAATTCGCATGTTACGCCGGGGACGTTTTGAAAAAGTTTCGAAAAAAAAAAGAATGGGCTCTAGAAACGGAAAAGTAGCTTTGTTGGAACTGATTAATTCTTGTGATGTTCAGGCAGCCGAAAACTGTCACGAACAGAAACCACACGGACCGCTGATTTTAAGATTCTGTATTTATTATATAGTCTTTCATCCTCTGAGATAATGCATTAGCGGAGTATGAAGGCATTTATTCCCCGGATTTATTCCCAGCAAGTACTTTCTTTCGTTGCCATTTAGAGGATAAACAATCAAGCAGTGGGAGAAAGATCATAAAAGAGGAAAGGAATTTAACATTTTTGCTCTTGAAAAGGGTTTGAAAATAAAACAATTTTTTCTGTCCTCAAGTCACACGTGCTCGATGGAGACGTTTTGTCTGAAGCAAGAAGGCTAGGGGGTCATGGATCGATTCGGCAATTGACGTCATTTGTGTGAAGCGCTATTGGTTGCTGGTGGCTGAGTGGCAGCTGTCTTTGTTGAAGCACTTCAACAGTGCCAAATAACGTGACAAAAGCCCTTACGTTTGCTATAAAAAAGCTGATTATTATTCACATCACGTTCGCACTCGGGCATTCTTAGAATAAAGGGAAGTTGTTTACAAAGTATGCATAATCAATTAACCCCAACTGATATGTTTTCAGTTTTCAGTTTCTAGTTTTACTGAAACACAAGGTTATTTTGAGCTCTTGACGATGGTTTTATACAAAAATGGGAACCATTGATTAAATGAAGAAAGCCGTTTGATGCATTTAATATTCCGCGGGAAAGCTTACGGGGAATTTGCACTCTTTTTTTCATTAAGAATACGGGGTGAATAATACATTAAAAACAATTCTTAGAACGAAACAATAGAAGGAGTTTTGTTTCTGATATTTCTCAGAAGAATGCTGTTGAATATATTACCGAGAAATTGATTAATCTCTCCAAGAAAATAACAAAAACATGCCTTCAGGAAAAAGTAAACTTCAATATTCCCTCTAGTTTGTGATTGGTTAGTTTGGCTCTGGTATTTCCCCCGCACCCAGAAACGTCAAATATCTGTCAAGTACTTTGTACAAGGTACTGCCTCTTTTTGCTTAAAATAACCCAACACGGTATTTTCTCGGTTTGTGATTGGTTCAGATAAAGTAATACGTAATGTGTCTGTTTTTGCCTACCAATTTTTTGAAAGCCTTAAAATTTCGTCGTTGCCTCAATTTTGTCATTCTGGTTTATGGTTTGATCCATTGTGGATTGTGCGACTTTGTGTTCAACGAGACCTAAATCTTTTTTTACCAAGAAGCAAAATTTTACCGAGATCTTCATAAACTTGACGTTGAAGGTAAGCTAGGGTTCTAGAACTTGAAATCAGCTCAATTCTGTGCTTTTATGCATGCTGTTGTTCAGCGGAAGGTGTAGGTACAGAGTTCCGCGTTGGTGTAGTAGTTCGCGGAATCTTCACAGCACATTTTTAAGACTTGACGAAACGTTTCTTCTTTCCTTTTAGAAAAGATAAAAAGAAAAGATGGAAAACATGATTGGAAATTCTGACTTGCTACAGAAAATGGAGGTAAGAACGTAACACACGCGACTTAGCTCGTTTCAGCGCTCTTTTTAGCTTAATGAAACCCTGTTCACACCAAAGGGGAGAAAATTGTGAACTTATTCTCACTGACTGTTTTTTCGTTCAATCGTTAACGTTGAATGTGAGTTAATTTAAACAGTGATATCCGAAGTCCCAAACTTCCTTAAAGATGCGACGCATTCATGAATAAGCTTATGGTTTTGTTGATCAGTTAAGAGCTAACACGTTTTGTTGATTTCTGTTCAGACCTTCAACAATCTCTTCCATGGTTTCCCGGCTGGTTTCGCTAAGATCAGCGATCTTGCGCTGTTGAACGGGATGTTTCATGCGGCAAAGCATCCATTAGTACCCGAAGGGACTCCTGTTCCTGGTTTTGAACGCCCAACACTACATCAAATGACATCTCAAGACATTGCATCAGGTAAAAAAAGTCAGATTTTTTTTCGTTAACACCTTCACATATCTCGGTATCAAAACTTTCGCTCGCGAAAGCGGAAAAAATGATGCACTGTCATCTAACATGCTATGTTTGTTTTGTCTTGTTTCTCAGCTCTAGGATACACGGAGGAGCGATCATTCATGGAAGATCTAAATGAAGCACCAGAAACTATTGAAGAATTGTTTAATGGCAGGCCTCATCTCGGCTTTGAGCAGAGCGGTACGTGTTGTTTGTTTCGTTTAATTTTCCGCTTTGGAAAAGCCCTTCAGCACCCCGCTGAGTTCTAGGAAAACCACGTTGTCATTATCAAAGCAATTATGTTATGCTAATGTGGTTTCGAATCCCAATTATGGGCAGCTTGATTGACAATCTCTCGATAGTTGATTAATTTTTGGGGGGTGTAAAGTACAAAATATCTTACACTCCTACACTTTCTCAAAACGTGTACAGATCTTGTTTATGAGATGATAATTTTTGGCAATTTCTTTTGCAGATATGGATAACTTTCCCGACCTATCTGTGTTTGATCAACTTCAAGAAGAGCATTCATTCCATGAACAGTACCCTTTGGCCCTATTGAACTTGAAGGAAGAAGCAAAATCTCCCATGTCTTCTTGTGACTCTGTGTACAGTTATTCATCTGCAAGCCCTCCTCACAGTCCAGCTATCAGTGACATTAGTTCACAAGCTTACAGCACAGATGAAGGAATTCAGAGTGACTTCAGTGATGTTGATGGTTAGTTTTAAACTTTGTCAAAACCCAGACACCAAATTAATACCTCAAAAATTCTTTAGTATGCATTATTTTGTTCTCTCAAGATTAAATTTTGTTTATTGTTTTTTTTTTCAGAATTACTCAGCCCGGTTGGTTCACCACTGTCTACATACAACGAAACAGAGAAGCAGCAAATAGTTGTGAAAACCGAACCAAGTGATGTCACAACCACCAAGACACAAAGAAGGAAGAGAGGACCCAAACCACCTGTGAAATATCGAGGTAGGAATGAATACAGGAAGTTTTAAGCTATTAGGTTGCGAGGGGGTGGGGAGGGGTTAAGGTAGGCGGGCATATTTTTTCAACATCTGTTTTTCTCATAAATATTTCAAGGAAGTAAACTTGTTTTGTTGATTTCCTTTAGGTGATGGTCCGATCCAGCTGTGGCAGTTTCTGTTGGAGCTGTTAATTGATCCAAACTGTGGAAATCTGATCAAGTGGACTCAAGATGAGGACTATGAGTTCAAGATCCTACAGCCCACCACAGTCGCAAAGATGTGGGGAAAGAAAAAGAATAAGCCCACCATGAACTATGAGAAGCTGAGCCGTGGCCTGAGGTACTACTATGGAAAGAATGTCATTGAGAAAGTACATGGCAAAAGATATGTTTACCAGTTCATGTGCGATATCAAAGGCATCCTTGGTTATGACCCAATGGTGAAGTGCGAAGAAGATTCTGGTGCAGAAGATGTGGTGTGTGGCGAACCAGTAATGTCGCCTGAAGTTGAAGACCTACTTGTTTCCTCTTCAGTTGGAGATGGTTTCTATCCAGGGCCTCTTGATTTCAGTGCGCTTTGTGGTTACTAGTTCCCATGTTTTTTTTTGTCGATACCCAAAACGTTGTGTTACTTCGGTGACTTTTCAGTAGCTTGTATCAAGCAGTTAAAACGGCAGTTAGCTATTTTATGAATCATGTTGATTCGACCCCCCAAGTTAAAATTTTCAGTTGTAAGGAGATCGGTAAAGGATCTTGGTACTTTACTCTTAAGATTTTGACATTATGCATACTGTGTATGCATGCAAACAAACTGAACTCTGGGAGTTTACCTCTGTAAATATCCCGTTGCAGTGTTTCCATAGTGTTTTTGCGTTTACTCCGAGAAGAATAATATAAAAGAATTTTACTAAAGTAAAAAATAGTGTGCATTGTTTTTTTATAAAGATAAAGAAAAAAGTCATATAATATTCGACATGGGGGAGTGGTGTGTTGCTTCTCCCTTTTTACCATTATTATGTAAAAGTTGCTTGACAATGATTATGCTGAAAGGTTTGCAGAAATGGAAGCAGTATGTGTTGCTTCTAGCAAGAGTATATTGTAAATTGAGAGTATATTGTAAATTACGCTATCTAGTCATATTGATTTTAAATTTGCTCTTTTGCTACCAGGTAGCTCACACAGTATGTGCCAAAGTTGTAATAATATATCATGAAAGCTGTCAATTAAAACCATGCATTGAAAAAGCCCATGAGTTTGTGTTTATTGGTTGCGTTAGATCATTTGTGGGAACTGATCCTTGTGTGTGAGAGAGAGTTGAAACTTGACAAAATGCCAACCAAAGAGGAAACCTAGTTTGTGATTGAAATATGACCAGAGAGATTAAAAATTATGAAAAAAATGCCAACATTTCTCATTAACGCAGAGAAAATTATGTTGGTGACTAGTACCCTTGGATAAACAAAAACCTTTTTATGCAGTATTTCTTAGGTTGCCTGATGTGTGAGATCCTTTATAAGTTTTAGGAGTAACTTTTTCCACCCCCCTCAGCTGTGATAACTTGATTGACAAGGAAACAGCAATGTCGAATTCATCAGGTTTCGTAACCAATGGCGTGAGCTCCTTGGTATTCTCTTTCTCGCTTACACGTATGCTAATGTCTTTCATCCATATCTCCTGCCCTCAGCAAGCTTCATTGTCTGTCGTAGCGCAACAAATTCACGAGGAATAGTATGAAGAGTATGCAGGGATTTTCTTAGTGCCCATCTCCTCCACCCCCTCTGCCCCGCTTGAACAACTCATCCCCTATTTTACCAAAATAAAAATACAGTAAACTGCCCTGCTTGTGCATCTTCGTAAGGGGTTTTAGCAGGGCTTAAAAAACGGAGGGGCGCTAGCTTCGGGGGGGGGGGGTGGGGTCTTATGAGTGGAAGAGCCTTGAAAAAGCGTAGCGCTGATCACATTCGTTTGTTATTTCTGATATTTGTAAGTGCAGTTTGTGTGTTATTCCTTTTAAAACTCAGATGGCCAAAAACCAAGAGCATATATGATCAAAATACGTTTTGTATTTACTGTTCTGGTTTTTTATTAAGCTTCAAAACTTCACGTTGCATCGAATTCATTTCAATACATTTTTTTTTGGTGGGGGGGGGGGAGGAGGCTTTTATTCGGGGTTCAATACATTTGGAGGGGGCTTCTATCCGTGGTTTATTTTTTTGTTCTGTAGGTCGACGGTCCTCGGCCGGCGGGGGGGCGGAGGGTGGGGGTCGGGGTGCTAAGAAGCGGAAGTTTTATACGTTACAGTCGACGAGAGTAAATATATGGCTTCGGCTTGAACGACAGGTGCATGCGTCTTCAATGTCAACATCGATATATTCTAAGAGTCTTCATTTAATTATTATTCTTTTTAATTATAGGAACAGGAAGAAGTAGGAAATTGCTTCTCTGTTTTTTGGTTGTTTTTCTTATGAATACTAGGCGCATTTTATTGCAGTTTGAGACCGATTAATCACATGGACGTGGTTTCTTTTCAGTTGGCTTTCTCCTAACTTGAGCAAATTTACTTTAGTTCTTAGAATTAATTTGAAATAGGACCTTAGCCCCACCATTCATGTCAGTTTTTTTGCACTATCTTCCAATCTCCTTTCGCTTTTTGCTTCAACTAATCCTCAGAACGAGGCTGAGAGAAAAGAGGAAGTTGGTGTGACGTCACATACAGTTTATTGCCAGGTGTAGCACGTTTTGCTCTTCTTGCTTCAAAACTGGGAAGAAATCTCGCGAAAGGTACAAGAAAATTTCAATTTTGTGTCTGAGGCAAGTGGTGCATTACCCGAGCATTTCATTTTGTGGCGTTTGAAGTGATAACAACCATCGATTTGGGGGAGAATTTAAGGCAGCTTCCGGCGGAAAGATGAGTGAGGTAAGATCGAGTTCGGCGTCGGTTTCGTTGAACGGAAATTACCCTTTGCAGTACACATTCTTCTTTCTCGAGCAAAATACGACAAGAAAAGTAATAAGTACTAATTCCTACGATATCTACGCAACGTTTCTTACCAGCGGTTGTGTTTTTACAGCGATCTTAAAGCGAATTTTGGCATCAAAGGAAGTAAGGTTGTGAGTTTGATCATTCACGCTCAAAACAGGAAAGGCGAGGTAAGCTTATCTTCCCAGGCGCCCAGTAAGCCAACATAAAGTTGCAGGTATTACATTCTCATAACTGTAACAAACCATACCCTTTTATTTAACTGGCTTACTTTTTTTCGCATTTATTTGTTTTCGTTTCGTTCTCCGCTAATACAAAAGAACTAAAGCTAAACTGAGAAGACAGATCAAATCGAAGTTCGAAACGTGTTTATGGCGGGAAAGCAGTCGTCAACTGTCCATTTTTGTTCATTTATTAATACTGAAAGTATTGGTTTTGATTTTGTGTGTTACTTCAAAAAGTGAATACCGTTCATGAAAATCACACATCTAGCAAACTGTTTTCGTGGAAACATGCACGTTTCTGATCATAGTAACTAAGTACACAAAAGAAGGGGAGATGCGGTTTAATTTCCATCTTCACACGAGATGTCAACAGAAAAAAGGTGGAAATATCTCCAGTTTTCTACTGTTCATTGGTGATGTAAAAGTATATTCTATTTTCACCATGATTTTATACTCCCCCTGGTTTAGTCGACAACCCAGTCAGTGATCATACATAATGTTATTCATTTGACACCTCAAAAATATTTCATAAAACTGATTACCACTCTCCATTTGTCAGATGTTTGGTAACCGGAGTCATCTTGCCTGAAGTTATGTCACCCGAAATTTTTAGTTGTCTCTTGAGATGCTGAGTTATGTTACCCGAATTTTAACAGGTGTACTACATAGAGAATGAAGGTGATAGGGATGTTAGGATGTTGTTGAGCATGATAACATTTTGGGTGTCATCACTCAGCATTTCGGGTGACCTACATTTTCAGGGGCGCTGCCAGATTTTTTCCAGAGGTACGCACAATTTTTCAAATCCCTCTAGTCCCCTCTCACTTTACAACAACGTAGTCATGCTTTTCACATCTACCTTGCTGCTATTTACACACTTTTTTTGCAGGTTTCTTCACTGACATTCTGGTGTTAAAAAGAAGAAGTCCATTGTTTTTTAAAAATATTTTTCAAAGAAACACTTAGACTTAGATGAAAATTGAGCAATATTGTGCTTTTTAAATTTATTTACTTTTTTCAGATAATTGGCATTTTTCATTTCATATTAATATATTTTTTAGTCTCAACTTTTTCAGGTACGCATGTGCGTACTGTGCGTACTGGTAGCTACGCCTCAGAATCTGCATCTAAAAATTTTGGGCATCAAAACTCTAGTTTCATGCAACATAATTTTGGGTGAGATGACTCTCGTGCGACTTGACTGTGAACCAGCTGTACAACATGTATAGGGTATACCAATTAAGGTTATTTAACAATTATTCCTCGAGCCCAAATGGGCTCTGAGTCTATAGCCCATGAGGCTGAAGGACGAATGGGCTATTAACTCAGAGGCCATGAGGGCGGGAGGAATAATTATTGTTTTAGTAAAATCCAACTAGTTGGTCAAAAATATCAAGGCAAAACAACTTTAGCTAGTTAAAGCTAGACTTAAAGCCATTGTTTTGGTATTCAAGTCGGCGCTTTTTGCTACTAGTGGGCTATAACATGTAGCCTAGTAGTAGCTCAACCAATCAGAATGCAGCATTGATAATAGAGCACTATTTGGATTTTACTAAAGTCAATTACGGTGCACTGAACTGGTAAAGAAGATTTCAATCAAGATGTTATGAAAATCGGTTTATACATGATCAGGCTGGATTTTGATTGTTGTTAAATATTGTTGTTGTTGTTTGGTTGTGCATGAACACAATGTGAACAGAGAAAATTTGCAAAATTGCCTGAAGCATTTCATGCCAGAAGACTAGCACCTGCTTTTTAAGCAGTTCAAAAATTGGACTAAGTGTGAATGAGATAGCCTGAAAGCATGGAAAGAGCTCTAATGTAGGCACTGGACTTATACTGTCAGATTTTTAAAATGTGGATTCATTCTGCAGATACATTGTATTCCTTGTAGAAAAGTCTTGTTTTATACTGTATTTATTCGATTAACCACCCTGGGCGCTTATTAAATTTTTGGACCTTGAGAGTGGGCGCTTATTCGAGGCTGGGCGCTTATTAAATTTTCACCAGTTTCAGCAAGTGAAGTATGTCTATTTTGCAACAAAACAATAAATGCTAATAACAAAATGCGAAGAAGAAACAAAGCAAGGTTTCTGTGAAATACTCTGAAGAAAACTCCGTCCTGGGGGAAGTCTCTTATTAAAATGTATCCACTCAAGTTGGTGGGGTGAGAGTGAGTGCTTATTTGAGTTTGATTGGGAGGGGGAGGGGGTGGGCGCTTATTCGAGGGTGGGCGCTTATTAACTTTTTCTGCCTTTAGGATTGGCGCTTATTCGAGGTGGGCGGTAATTCGAGACTGGGCGCTTATTCGAATAAATACGGTAATAGACGCAGTGGTTTTTTTTTTACATATTTTGCAGCAATTTGTTACTGGATATTGATATTTTGTGTTATAACCCTGTCAAGGTAGATTTTCAGTGATGACAGAATCTGGGAATGAATTGGTCCCTGAGGAAGGCCTTCAGGGAAACGTTGCTGTACCAGAGGGGGGTCCCCAGAGGAACTTATCAGTACAGTTACAGTGTCATGCATCAAGTTCAGCTGAGGAAGTGAGAAAGCTTTTAGAAGAAAAACTAAGCAGACATCTGGATGGTTATACACTGGTGTTTAATAACTCTGAGGTATAGAATGCCATTGATTTTAGTTTTGTTTTGAGGGGTTGTTCATATGCGACACAAGCACAAGTAGCAGCACAAAAAAAAATCAAGTGTGCAAACTCATGCACAAGGGCCAATGTAAGAAATGCCATTTCTTTTGGCATTTGTTCTTGTATGTGCATTTCACATTCTTGGACTGAGACAAGACCAGTCAAGTCACAAGAGCAAGGTCAAAAATTTTCTTTGGCCATGTTAGGTTGCACGATGCATGCATACCTCATGTATTTGCATTAGCTATATGAACATATCTTGTGCTTGCACTATTCTCTTGTGTTTGTATTGCTTGTATTCGAACAGCAAATGTCAGATCTTCATTTGTTATTGTCCAGTACGTTTATTGTCATCTTAAATTGTTTTCTTTTTGCTTTAAAAATGATATGTCCCATATGTGTAGATTTTCTGAAGATCAACTTAAGCCAGCAAACAAATAAATGTATTTTTTGTCATTTACACATAGCTGACAACTGTCCAGGATATTTTAAAGGTTCAGAGTCTTGTAGAGCAAGATTGTGATCAAATCCTTACTGTTATCATCAATGGTGAGTTAATATTAATTTAATACAAATTCTATATTAAATATAAGTGGTCCAGCTCTGTCATACTTCTAGCCCCTTGTAAAAAATGTGAAAACAAAGTTTGAATAGCCTTTAACTAGCAGGCTGTGTTTTGAATTTCCCTCCCTTTAAGTCCCAATAGTGCTCAAAATCAATTTTCTCCTGACGATATCCATAGACTATCATAAGCAAAGTCTGTGAGAATTAACAAAATGATCACAAAGAGAAAAATATTTGATCTTTTACCAAATTCTCTCAACTAATTTTTCAAGGAAATGTATGGAGATCAGTTTGGAGAATCTGTATGTGGATATTGGGACTTAAAAGGTTAACCTGATTCGCAAATAGACAGTGGCATTTTTGACAGGCTAATCATGATGTCTACTCAAATTCTGGTACCCAGCTGGCCATGGCGGCCCAGAACAAGGATTTCGGCACTAGTTCGCCGACAGACTTTTCCAGAAGTTTAGTTTTACTTGTGGCACAGGCTACCCAGCAGTGTCTTAACCCTTTAGGTCCCAAGAGTGACCAACATCAATTTTCTCCTAACAACATCAGCAGATCATGAAGAGTAAAGGTTATGAGAATTACTAAATTGATGACCAAAGGGAGAATACTTTGATCTTAAACCAAATTCTCTCAACTATACTTAAAAGAAATGTATGGAGACCAGTCTGGAGAATTTGTATGTGGATCTTGGGGCTTATTCTATTAAGACACATTGACACATTGGAAACTACCTCAATTTTTCTACTGGCACCTGGACAACTAATGAAATTGTTCTGTTTGAGACAACATTTGTTTCAAGTTTTTGAACGAGGCGTGCTAAGAATAAGGCCCCATATTTTGGTTTCTGATAAACTGTGAGATTCTCCTTTGACCTTCCAACTTGCCTTGGTATTATTCATTGTTTGTGAATCAAAGGTCAAACTTACTGTTAGAACAGGAGTTGCTTTGGGCCTTATTCCATGTGCCCTTATTTTGAAATGATAGATAAAAATTAATACCAGTTAGTAAACACGTGTTGCTTGTAATGAAACTGTCCTCACCTATACGTTACCATAAATTATACTTTTTTTCACCAGATGAGAATTTCAGGATAGAAATTACAAGTATTCAGGATCCCATGGAAGGTAGTGTTGCAAACAATGTTACCAGTATTATTATTTTTTCAAGTGGGGATCATTGTGAAAAACAAACTTCAAGAATAAAAGAGATTTGTTGTATTTGTAGTAGAAATGCTGCCATTGCCAGCTGAGGAGTCTGAAGTCAAAACAAACAGCAATGAAGTCATGTCACCACCAGCACTAACAGATGAACCACCCAAAAAGAGACGGAGATCTTCAGGATCAGGCACTGCTAAAGGTACTAAAATCAGGATGCGAGAATAGGTGATGATGATGATGATGATGGGTAGGGCAAGTGAAGGATCAAAGCTATTGTACTCATCATTACAAAACACTAAACTAGTCTTGTTGTGTTACCCCATCTTCAAAACTGAGATTTTTTATTACTCTTTTAAAAAAAAACTCTGGGATGCAACATTTGGGAAGGATATAGGAAAGGAGATAGAGAAGTGGGCTGAGATACTCTTGTATAGTGCTTCAACAAATTTAACTGGTGTAATAGCTACAAATTTAGAGTTTCTAATGTATTTTTAGTTATTCCATAACACAACCTTTTTTAAATCACAAGGTAGCATTATCAAGAGACTCTTGCAGAAGCATGTACCAACTGTATGTCATAGGTTTACTGGATCATATTTCGATAGAAATTATCCAAAGCTCAAAGGTCTGAAATATTTGAGAGTATTTATTGGAAATACTGCTCTGGCCTTTGGTTTATTTATCTCAGATTTCATCTCTCCTCCCCCTTACTATTTTGCAGTTCAATAACATATCAGAAATAATTGTGGTCTGCAAGTGATTTTCTTAATCTAAAAGATGTTATTTGGAAGGGGGAGATTCCATCAGTATGTTTATTCAGTGTCTGTAGAGGAGTTATTGTATATGTTACAGCTCTGTTAAATTCAGTTTTTAACCTTGGTCGGTTCTCCTTTTCCTTTGTCTCCTAACCCAAATTATTCTTTAATTAGGGCCAGGAGAGAAATGAAATTGAGAATCAATCTAGGTTAAGAAATTAACCTTAAAGATAGTTTTTGACCCACAGTACGACATAGGTGTGATAATAATATCGATCATCAATAAAAATGAAATTATTCTAGATGAAAACAATATTATTGTAATGAAATGTTTCAGGTGCCAGTAGCAGTAAGTCTTCTTTACCAGCTCCAGCATCCCAACAAGTGGCTGTTATCACTGAAAGTGAGCAAACCAACTTTTGTTTTGGGTTGTTAAATGGATAGATAAGGATAAAGATGGGTGTTATTTCAAATGTTTAAGATTTGAAGATGCCATTCTAAAAAAAATAGTAATTTATTGTTAGATGTTTCAAGGATTACATGTGATATAGGTACAGTTAGACCCTGTATGTTTTTACTGTTGCAGGTAGCTCTCAAGGACAGCAGATTTCTGTGATAAAAAATGGTAGGTGTAAATAAAAACTTAATTTCCTTCTGCCTGGTAATCTTAGGCTACATACCGGTTTAATTTATATATTTCTGTTAGTTTCATATGTGTAAACTTGAGAAACTGAAGTAGCATGTTGCAAAAAATTCACAATGAACATCATATTTTGATGCAGTTTATCATCAAGGTGTTTCTTTGTTCATTGTAAACTTATTATGACATACTCAATATCTTTACATGCGCTTTGCCCATTGTATGGTATTTTGTATCCACATTCAAATATTAACTTAACTGTCAGTCTTGAAAATGGAAGTGAAGACATTTTGCAATAATTTTTTTACTTTTATACATCTTTAAATAAATTTGGTTTCTTCTCATGGTACAGGTTTTGAAAGTTCTGCTTCAAAAGATGACTCGACTCTGATGGACATAACTCAGTCTTCGTCAGGATTCTCTTTAAAAGGTCAGTTCCCACACAAAAAAAATGATGAGAAAACTATCATATTTGTCTGCTCGTATTTTAGGGGTACAGATCTGGCTTTTTGTGGTGTATTCGGTGGCCTTTTTTTGTCTACTACCTCTGAGAAAAGGTAACCAAAGACATTTTTAAAGTAGGGTTCACACACACCTTGAAAGTTCTTGAAAATTACAGTCAGTGATGGAAAGTCCTTGAATTACAATGCTAACTTTATAGTTTAAGTAGAACTCCAAAGAGAAAGGAGCAAACACAGAGATCTTCGCAACAAAATTGCTCATGTTGTGGAAGAACTAATAAAGACATAGACTCAAGGCTCTTTTTTATACTAAATGGAGTCCTTGAAAAATTGGAAATGTGTACCTGAAAGTTCTTGAAAAGTCGTTGAATTTTTTTTCAAAAAAGGGTGCGAACCCTGTTAAGGGTACTTTTTAACTTTTTGCTTATTTATTTGACACAGGTTTGGCTGGTATAACATCTGAACAGCAAACAGTAATTCTGAATGCATCCCCACAGAACAGTCCTGGAGAAGTGAAGTCTCCTACTGCTGCTGGTAAGGTGTTTTGCTTGTTTAAAGATTAATTAACTGTGCATTTCTCGCCATGATGATGACTTCTTGAACTTGTGCATAATTTACAGATGTTGTTAGTGGGGATGATGAAGAGAAGAGCAAGAGTGTGGATGGAAAGCCAAGTCCTGGAAATAGATCAGGTAGAAAGAAAAACCTTTCAAAAATAATAATAATAATAATAAGCTATAAAAAAATTGCATTAAAACATTTGAGCAAGTTTTAAAAAAGTTAAAAAATATACAATGTTCTTGGATGTCATTATCAAGTAAACAAATATGGGACGAATGTTCTATAAATACAAGAAAAACAATAGTTCATTAAAAAGGCAAGTAAGAAAAAAAAAAGAGTTTAGCACTGATGGACTCAGAGTGACATGATTTGCTGGGTCATTTGGGTTGTAAGTGCAGAGGCTACTTTTTCTTGATATGTTGAACAGTGACTTATTTCTTCATGGCAAAGGATAAACAACAGACTCTTTGCAGCTGCTGGTAGACAGTGGGGGTCGGGGGCATGGGTAGCATTTGTAAATAAAATGCCACTACACTCCTGTTTTAGTTATAACATACATCTGTTGATTCATTCCTCTTTTAATTCATGCCTAGGTAACAATGGCCAAATCCAGTTATGGCAGTTTTTGTTGGAGTTATTAACAGACAAAAGCAGCCGTCACCTAATAATGTGGGTGGGAGAGAATGGTGAATTTAAACTTAATGATCCAGAACAAGTGGCCCAGCAATGGGGAAGAAGAAAAAACAAACCTGCTATGAATTACGAGAAGCTGAGCAGAGCACTGAGATATTACTATGATGGTGACATGATACACAAAGTGCATGGAAAGAGGTTTGTTGAGAAACTAGGCTGTGCATAACCCCTTAAATTAAAATGACTACAGAAACTCAAAATTGAAGAAAAATCCCATAATAATAAGTTGCTGAAAACAAGGAGCACCAAGGGAAAGTGCTGATGAAAAGTTAAAGCCACCTTGTGCAGAGTAATAATTATTAGTATGATAAACTACTGCTCAGTATTTCATCCCCAAATCACCACCACCTTCTACAACATAATAAAGAGTAAGTACCACACAAAAGTTCTTCCCAGCTGCTTTCTTTTTAATAGTTACACTTGAGTACATTGTATTTTATCGCCAAAGTCAACCACCTTGTACAGCATAATAAACAGTACCACAGGAAGGTACTGCTCAGTAGCTTTCATTTGAATGGTCACACTTTAGGATTTCATCCACAGACTCAAAAGCTAGAACCTCATTGTACAACATAATTATGTTATAATAAACATTATCAAAAACTGAATCATTGGATAATGTAATTCTAGAGCTCTGATTGGTTTAGCCATCATGGTATATGAGCCACTATACCATGCTCTCCACATATGGTAACTGTACGCATCTGCTCAAATTAAAAACAAGCTGAAAATCAATTGTTCTTACAAATAATGTTGGGAAGAATTCTCGATATTTTGTGGGCGTTTTAAATAATACAATTTATTATTCCACTCGCGCTTGTTGGATATGAGATGATTATAGCCAACCCATATCCAACGCGCAGTCATGGAATAATTTATTGTTAGGTACCGTAGGGAAGTGCTGCTATGGTCATACACAGGTACTAAACTGACAGCTTCCCTGATAATGCTGTTGGTGTATCTAAGCATATCGTTATCTGATAGAAAGCTTGTTTGTTTTAGGTTTGTGTACAAGTTTGTGTGTGACTTGAAAAACTTGTTGGGATACAGTGCAGGCGAACTTAGTAGACTTGTGTTGGAAGCGGAGGAAACAGCCAATGAACTGGAGCCTGGGACCAATGGTGGACACTAGCTTGTTGATTGTTTGTGTAAAGATGTTAACTGTAAATAATAATATTGTAACACGTCTCATACTGTGTTTATTTTCCATCCGTAGAAATTATGCAGGGGTTTCATTAAGAATAGCAGTAGCAGGAGAATAGTGTAAAGTAACAGGAGAATATTTTTGAAAGAACGAAGAACTTTCCCGGAAAGAGCTTGAAAACAATCCTGGAAATTTTGCGTTTTAAACCCTGCTGAGTTTGATAGCAAATTTTATTTCCCGTAGCTGCGGAGAATTATGCGTCGTAGACGGAGAATTCTGCGATCTCCGATGCTTAATGAAACCCCTGTTATGTATTGTAAGCCACAACGACAATCTTGTTGTATTTCCCTTTGGCCACAGTCAAACCTCGCCACAATCACAACCCTGTTAAGAGTCTGTTGTAGGTAGGATACCATTGTAAAAACAAGAGTGAGTTGCTGGTAGTACTTAAAGCCCCAACGTTCACATACAAAATAATTCTCAAGACTGACCTCCGTACAATTCCCTAAAGAATTAGTTGGAAGAATCTGTTTAACAATCAAAACAGAATTATTCCTTTAGGTGATCATGATATTAATTCTCAGAACCTTTTGTTTTGACTATGCAGTGATATTATTAGGAGAAAACTGATGTTAATCACTCTTGGGGCTTAAAGGGGTAAATGTATTTTCTTGGACAAAAAAGTGCCGCATTTGTGGAAAGGTCTTCTTTGTAGAGAAGTAACCATACCTAACCTAGCAATAGACATCTTTGTAAAGCCTTTAATTTTGTCCTTTTGTCAAACTATTCTTTTCCCTTTCTCCTAAAATAAAATGGGGTAGAAGAGGACCTTAGTGGCACTTTAATTAGCAAATTTTTAGTCGTAATACTGTCATGCAATGCCTCTCATGTCTTGTATGACAATTTGTGATGTCCAGCCAGGATGCCTATACTGAAAACCTTGGGTAACACCACATTTTGTGTCATGATTTGCCGTTTCTAACCCAGTTAGACACCTCACTTAATGTCTCATGATGCATTTTAAGGGTTTCTGCAAACAATCATGCATCTCAGACCTTTCTTTAGGACTTAGCACATGCCCTTTTTTCTAATATTTACGTGAGCTTAGCATCTAGGCAAAGTTTCAGACCTAAGAGTGAATTTTGTGGTATTTAAATAGTCACAGTGGCAGAAAAAAATGTTTTATAAAATGTACTGCATTTCAGTATTCTTGAAAGAATTAAAGGAAGCACGAATTAAAATTCTTTTTAGATGGTCATAGTTCTACTCATTATGGCCACTTAAGTGTTACTGTGTAAACCAAATATCTAGCGTGAATTGTGTGCTGTAATATCGATAAGTTATTCTTAAATTCTATTATTTTAAATGTACATAAAAAGTTGTCTAATAGAGAATAAAATTATAGCTATACTACAAATAACTAGAAATTTTATTCTTTCTCCCTCCACCATCCCACCCCTTTTTTCACACAACATGACGCTTGCAAGCTCATTCCTTAACATCAAACTGGTTTAATATCCAGAATTTTGAGGATAACGCTATCAAAGAATGGTTCTTCGATTCACATTTTTTTTAAATATTGACTACAATGTTTTGTACATCTGTACATAGAAACTATATCTTGTTTTTATACTGCACATCCAGTAATTTTCGTTGTACATCGCCATTAAAACTTATCAGATCATATTAAGTTTAATATTTTTGAAGGTCTACATCATTCATACAACGTCTGTTTTCTCCAATATGAACTTCCATCACAACACTGGAATATATCTTCAAAACTAAGCGAAATAAATATATATTCTTACTTTTTAAAATAGTTGGTTTCTACCGTATTTGTTCACATTTTTATAACTTCATTTTCGAAACTTTTCCAGCACAAGTTGAATTTTTCCCGATATATCGCTTGTATTTCCTTCAGCGACAAAACTGGATGCCGGCCTTGGAGGGGTGGCGTCCAAGGCACGTTCTCCCCAATCCCCATCGATGTTTTGACACTTTTTCCAGGCTCCGCGCACTAGTTACCCTACCAGTAAATTCCTTCGAGTGTTTGTTCATGACACGGCCAACAAAAGGGAAACCTAGAACAGAGAAACGTAAGTTGGTTCACATAGTTTTTAACAGTAGCCATATCTTAACAGCAGTGTACAAATAGTGAAATACGCTTGGCTGTCACATAACGCAGTAGGGCTTATTCTGACTTATGTAATGGCAACGGAAGCCAAAATGTCACTTGGAAAATGAATTCGCGCTGTTTCAAACTTTACTACTCTTGTTCAATTTCATAAAATTTGTTTAATGTTGGGGAAACTTTTCTGTAGTTAATTCTAAGTTGAGAAAAGGGAAAAGAAAATTGTTGCATTGTGTTAACGTCTTCCATAGAACATAAAACTAGGATGTTGCACGTCGTGGTCGTGCAACAATAGCAAAGAAATGTACAAAAAAGCATGATGCACGTGCAAAGTTGTTGTTTTGATAATCTAAACCTATTGCTTGTCGTTGCTTAAAAGCTCCATATTGGTTGAATCTGGGAAGAAAAAAAGCGTCACTTTTCTCTCCCAGAAAACTTCACAGTGTAACTATCACAAACAGCCATAAAACATACTTGTTGAATAGATGGACATCCGATTATTTGCTGATCTTCAACTGAGTATGTTTCCATCACCATATCATTCATCTGTTTGTAATAATCTTGAACTTTGGCCTGTAAAACAGAAATCCAGTTGTCAAGTATGTTCGTTTCTCTTAGAAAGTGTGTTCGGCTTATCTACTTAACATGGACATTCCCGTGTCCTGCTGTTTCCAATGGTGCATAGCCAACTCTATCTAATAATACGGGCAAAGTTAGCACCGGCATTGAGTGTCTGTATAAGAGAGGTATCCGCCTTATACAGAGTCCGCAAAGAAAGTACTGAGACGAAGCAGGGGCTAACTCTAAGGATACAATGTACTCAAGTGTTAGACCGCGGTTTAGGAAATCTTTGGACCTCCAGATTCCTTCCCTAGTAGGTTATTTTACGAAGACAAAGGCTTTCATAGTCTACTTTACATGCTTTAATGAAGTTAAAACAAATTGAAAATGACTTAGAACGAGGTTTTATTAAACGCTGGCTAAACTCCGTTTAAATAACTGGCCCTAAACTGCCTGATTTACCCAAGAGGGTGTAGTTAAATACCAAAACAATCGATACTGTTTGCGCAACTGACAGGCTAGTTAACAATTATTCCTCGAGCCCGAATGGGCTCTTGAGTCAAAACAACTTTAGCTAGCAAAACGCGATTCAGCCGCCATTGTTTTGGTTTTCAAAGCCGGCGATTTTCGCTACTAGTGGGCTATAACATATAGCCTAGTAGTAGCTCAACCAATCAGAACGCAGCATTAATAATAGACTACTAGTTGGATTTTACTAATATTGTTACTTTTCACCAATACTACGTTGACCAACTTTCAATAATCGTCACTGAATGCCCACAGAGTTAAAAATAGACAAGTCTTCGGAGTTTTTTCGGATATATTCAGTTTTTCAAGAAACGATCAAAATTGGACGAGGGTAAATGTGGAGTTCTCGTGGCTTTGGAAGGATATTCTTCGGCAGTATTCGGACGTCTTCGGAAACGATCGCAAGAGGATAAAGCTACTTATACCTTGACAGGTTTAAACAGTATGTACTCCGTATCCTTATTGGCTAAAAACAGCGCCATACTCTGTAAAGTACTGGTGAGTTTGGACTTCAGCAACATATACGTCTCACTCACAACTTTGCGAACATTCTCTGAAACGCAGAAAAAAGGATCAAAATGAATTAACGTTTAAGGTCCACATTCCCTATCCCCGTAAGCGGTTGTTTTTATGCTGTCACTCAAGAAACGTTTTCTTTTACCTGGTTTTGCAAATGGCTGTTGTTTTAAGAACGCTTTGGGATCTTTTCCTTCCTCCACTGCAAGATTTTTTATCACCGTTACCTGTTATTTTGTGAAAAAAACGAAATATACTGTGGCATTTCAACTGAGCATTTGAACTTGACGACTATTAATAAAACAGGGCCCTCTGACAGTTACCGTAATAACTAGGAGCCCTGATAACTAACTACCGGATTGGCTGCTTTACGTTCCTTTTTTGGAAACTGAAATTAGCAAGGATGTCTTTGACTCATGGGGCAGGGGTGGGGGAGTAAAAGTAAGCACTTTGAACCCTCACCCCTCCCACCACCAAGAGTAAAGAACAAGGTATGCAGGTTTTGCTAGTTGAATGATCACCTTTCTGTCTTCGAAAAAGGCCAAAAAAGAAGGAACCACACAGGAAAACCGGTGTGTAAGTAACACAATTTCATCAGAATTTTCAATTATTACTGTAGTTAAAAAGCATCTATTTTATTAGCGCTGTTTTCACCTGTGAACTCGTTCCCCCGCTCAGAACTGAAAAGATAAACTACTTTGACTTTCGACTGCTGCAGTTGGCCACGTTTAAAACAGCTAAGTTTTGATTACATGACACCTAAAGCACTGAACTACAAAAACCGCTCCTGACAAATTCACTAGCAAACACGTATCAAAATTCACGTTAATTTACCTTAGCCAAGAAAGCGGAGAGAGGAGCAATGAGTGATTCTGATACATTTTGTATAAACTGCTCACACACAACACGAAGCTCAACATCCACTTCCTTAAAAGGAAAAAATGCAAGTAAATACGAAGATTCTTAATGATGCGGTTATTTTGCTTCATAAATTTCACCATTAATTCGAATACAAAGTTGATGTTTTTCTAACACGAAATTTTAACGCACGAAGATTTGAACTTGGGACTACCGAGAATAAAATTAGGTAGCAGTCAGGACGGGACTTAAAATCTGAGCCTCCAAATTGCAGGTCGAGCACCCTAACCGCTAAGCCAAGCTGCCTTCACAAATTCATTGTATTCACCACTTGCACATCCCTCAAAATTTTGCATAAACCTTGTTTTTCATTTTTCCTGGGTATTACAGCCGTCCCAAGAGAAATTGAAATCAATGCTTATGCGAAATTTTGTGGGGCAAATAAGGTGCGTTATGGGAGATGTGGAAGTGGCGAATGCTCAACATACAGAATATGCAATGAAGTCATTCTAATAAAGCCAGTAATTTATGGTTTGTAACCTTCTTTGAGTCCAAGTAGTTTTCTGTTAACTGTGGTGCTCCCTGAAATCAAAATACCGTGAGTTAGACCAGTTTAAGAAATGGGACTATCTCCACTCACTATATTTAAAGAACGCTTTCTTCTGACCACAGTTGTTGAAACGTTGGACAGCGCTGCCTGAGGATAAATCACTATCCAGTTGATAAGCACTCAAAAAACCAATTGCTTCATCTGCTGGGTAGACATTTATCCAGTGGATAGCGTCTTCCGCCTTTCCAACGACGGACTTCGATCGTAACATGAAAATTTTGTCTCATTTACAATTGATAATGAACATACAGTGGCTTCAATTAATTTTGCTCTTTTAACCTGAATCAACAAACCACACTGTCACAATATTCTCTCGAAAGATACTTAATTGAGTCTGCTTCCACTACAGCGTACTTACATCTAACAAGAATTCCAAAATAGCGTTACTGCTACTAAGAGCAAACAATCTGTTGCTATGGCTCCACAGTCCATATGCTGCTGTCCTCATCTTGCTAAAATCAAGCGACATTTCCTTCACAGCAAAATCAACATCAAAAGGTGCAATTTGCTCTCTAAGGATCAGTAGATGCTTGATAAGAAACAGGTGGCCGTTAATAGCATCCTAGTTTTGAATGAAGACAACGTTAAGATGCAAATTACTTTGACTGACTATGAAAGGGTGGGCTTTTCAAGGCTGTACTCTAAGGAAAATTGAAGGGAGCCCAGTGCTCTGAGACGGTAAAATTTAGGGTGCCCAGCATATGATTTGTACGAAACATCTGATATTTTCTAGTCGCCCGAGGGCAAAAGTTAGGTGCCAGGGGCCACCGGGCTCTGCTAGAACACAGCCCTGCTTTTCAATATTCTGAAGGATCAATCAGACGTGAAACTTTTAGCAATAATTCAACATTTTCTCAATTACTGAAAGTAGTAGTCTTAAGGAACTGTTTAAGAAGGTCCCACCAAACTGCCTCCAAAAAACATTTTTAAATTTTGACTTTGTTATTAGACTGGTGCCATCATAGCATATTCAGAGATGTCACTAAGAACAACTGCTAGCTAATTTCACCAGCTGAAAAAAGCCGGCTTGACTAATAAAAAAGCCTGCTTGTCTACATCCCTCATATCATATGATGCAGAGCCTCCGAGCAAGCTCTTGATCAGGGGTGGGTATAAGAGCAAAAACAGAGCAACACTTGATTCTTTCCCTGAACCCTCCCTACTGAGTTGAGAGTAAGCTCGAAGGATAGTCACGTGAAATTTTTAACCCGTTAAGCCCCAATATCCACATACAAATTCTCCAAACTCATCTCCATACATTTCCTTCAAGAATTAGATGAATGAATTTGCTTAAAGATCAAAGTATTTTCCTTTTGGTAATCATTTTATTAAATCTCATAAACTTTCTCTTGATGAAGTAATGAGGTCGTTAGGAGAAAATTGATGTTGGTCACGCTTGGGACTACTCATTACCTTTCTTTGAGTGATAAGAGCACTGGCTGTTTTGAGAGACTGAATGCAAAATGATAGAGCTTCTTGAGACAGTCCTTCAAATGTCTCTTTCTGTATAAAGGCAAAAAGGTTTTGAAGTGAACGATAAGCATACAATGTAAACACATTTAAGATAGACGGGTTGTCCCCTCATGGAAGATATGTGAAAACAATGAAGGCCAGAGAATTGTGAACAAACAACTGAAGGAGAGTAAGCTTAATAGTATAAAAGTCATAACACAAATTTTTAAATGCAGGGCACTCTTACCGAGATACAACGGTAAAGTTTGGAGAGACAAACCAGAGTACGTCGGACAGTTGGATACCACATTCCTTGCAGATCAACAAGAGCAGCTGGCAATTCTGTGGCAAAGAAACAACACGTTTGTTTGTTTTCGTTTTTTCCTTGTGAAAAATAGTTGCAACAGAGAAATTTTGACAGACCCTGTTACACTAAGACATGCCCATTGCAGGCTGGGATGTTTCACAATCATGTAACTTGTCTAACAACAGCAAAACAAAAGTTTATCGAAAATTGAAACCCTTTACCTACCTTTAGATTTCTTCTCTTCTCCTTCGGCCAATTTTTCCTCCTTGTCAGTGTCACTTGAGGACTACATAACAGTAAACACGTATTAATGTCTTGATTCAGTGTGAAATGGCTGTGTGACCAAATTAGAGATTAATAAAACTTGTATTTGAGTTAAACTATAGTTATGGCTAAACAAAATAAACACAAAATATTGTTTTTTTTGACAGACAAATTGCTCATTGTATTGCAAACCTCTTTTCTCCAACAAAATAAAATTATTTCATGACTAAAAGGAGCAGATACAATATAAACCAATTATAATAAAAAGGACAATTAAAGAAAAGTTTTACACACATTGTCCTCTGTACCAGTAACATATTTATAAAAATATTATTGTAAGTATTGTCTTGCTATTTGAATTAACTTTATTTTGGGAAACATTGAGATCCTTGGAAAAAAACATTGTTGTAATAGGCACAAAGAGTCTGTTCTGAGAGAGATTTCGGCTTAACAGAGAGTCAAAGAAAATGAGTGAAAAACATCAGGGTCTAATGCTAGGTGACTGTTTGAAGAGTTGTTGGCTGCGCTGTTTAATAGATTGAATGTATTAACTGGTTCTGCAAAAAGTCTGACATTTCCTATGCATCTTACCCCTATGATCAGTTTTTCTGGGTATGCGAGATCTCCTGGAGCTGGTGAATATTTCTGGATGTCACTCTCAATGTATGCCTGTAATGATCAACAAACCATAACAAGTTTATTTAAACTGGGATGACAATGGTCTGCAAGCACTTTTCATCTATTCCCAAGTTAAGTTGAGCTTGCTATGAGTAGATGGATTTGATAAAAATATCTGTTGTCATCTCGTGATCTCACTGCATGTCATTTCATGTATGTCATCCCATGTCGTACCATGTCACACCATGTGTCACACCATGTCAAATCATGTCAAATCATATAACACCATGTGTCACACCATGTGTCACACCATGTGTCACACCATGTCAAATCATGTCGCACCATGTCACACCATGTGTCACACCAAGTCAAGTCATGTCATGCCATGTTACACCATGTGTCATGTCATGTCTATGTTATCTTGTTGATCTTATACTGTTGATGTGCAAACTTTCATGGCTCTTACAAGAATTACCTGTGCTCTATAAACCAGTCTTTCTTGAACATCTTCTAACATCTGAAGAACTACAACTTCAAAAGCAGCCAATTCTTCACCTGAAGTGGAATGACACTCACAGTAAACTGATTTTTTGTGCAATTAGATGCTTAGTCAAGATAAGTTTTAAATGCTTGAAGGGATTTATGGGAATCTTTTCATACAAATTGAAACTTTTTTTCCGATAAAACACCGTAAAATTCCGAAAATAGGCCCCTCCATGTATGAGCCCCTCCAAAATGTAAGCCCCCCAAACCGGTAACACAAAAAACCCTCTGTTAAATCGCCCCTCCAAATATAAGCCCCCCGGAGGCTTGTACTTAGGAAACTGCCCTCAAACACAAAGTAAAACAAAACGGTAACTTTACTTCCAACTATAAGGCTAACCCAATCGATTTTGAGACGCAAATTTCCCTCCATAGATACGCCCCTCCGAATATAAGCCCGTCCAAAAATAAGCCCGTCAAAAAGGGCCTTTGAAAAATATAAGGCCCAGGGCTTATTTTAGGAATTTTACCATATTAGTGATAAGTGTTCAGTCTGTCTCAGTTGTCTCAGGAGAGTTATCCTTCATACCTTTTTGCTGTACATGATCCTCAATCATCTCAACCTGCAAAGAAAGAGAAATGAAAATTAACTCAATTTTTTTTGTACTGAAACTTGACAAAAGAGTAATAATAAATTCATCTTCACCTCTGGGTCAGCTTAGTAAAGCGCCAGTTACAGTTAAACCTTTAAGCCCTAAGAATGATCAGCATCGACTTGTTGTAATATCACTGCTTTATAAAACACAGTGGTCATGAGAATTATGGACATAATCAAACAAGATGAATTTGCTTGATATTTTATCAACTTCTCCCCACTACTTCTGTAGGAAATGAATAGAGGCAACAAATGAGAATTCAAATTTTGATCCTAGGGTTTAAAGGGTTAAAACATCAGCCAGGCCCTATCCAATGAAAAAATCTCTATTTTTTCAGTGGATAGCACAACTGGTTTCGCTAATACTAATCCACTGCATGGATTGTGATTTATCTGATGGAAAGCACTATCCAACCAGGGCCTCGTCAACACTTGATGGTGAATTCTTCAGGACGAAGGAACGGCCTCCTTTGAAACTCACCTTCAATATTGAACAAAGTTCAGTCAAGGTTTCCATGTGATTCATATGAATAATAACAGGTCGCAGTGAGTCGTACAGGACACTACAGAGGATTTCCAATAAGGAGCTAAAAGGAAACAGAAAAACATTCATCAGTGATGTATCGCTAGTCATGCAATAATTTTGATATCCCATGAGTGACTTGATTTACACATACACACATGCCTAAGTGAGCATGTGCACAGGGCACCTACAACAAGTTCAATGTACTTACTCTAGACCTGTGCTTGGCTTTGAGAAGAAATGGTAATACAGCTGATATTCGTCTCGACAAACATGTATCAACACTGAGCAACCAGCACGAACCTAAAGACAATGGAAACAATACATGTACAGTCAAACCTCACTTCATGGACACCCCCTTAATATGGACACCTTGTTATCACAGAGTTGGCTTTGTCCCTGGGGAAAGAAAGGCCTTACATTTTTCTCTGAATTCAATCACTTAATACAGACACTTTCTAGGGCCCCCTCAGTGTCCCTGTTAACAGGGTTTGACTGTGCTTGACTCAACTGGTTCATTTGAAAGACTGCAGTCAATACAGAACATGCTCATGAAAAACGTCAATTTGCAGATAGACTAGCATTTAAAGGCATGATGGTTAGGATATTTTGGGCTTGATGAACATGATTCATTAACATGAGAATACTTTCTTCAGCCAATAATGGATGGGTGAAATGTTTTTCTAGCTTCTAAGTTTGTGGACAAAACTCTGTGGTCCAGAGGAAAAAAACCTCTGTGGCAGTTTTTTTTAGTACTATTTACTTCTAAGGAGTTTACAAAATGAAATATACTGGGGACACCATTTTTACGTCTCCAGCCGGAGACAGGACCACCATTTTAAGTGGTCATCCGAACCACGTGAAGGTCTAGCCATTTGCAGGGCGAAGGCAGCACCTTCATTTCTCAGTTAGTTAAGACCTTGAGTATTGGTCCAGGTCCTGGGAATCGAACCCGTGACCTCCTGCTCTAGATTTGCAGTCAAGTGCTGTTGCAACTGACCTAATCCTGCCACATTTAGGAAAGGATTAAGGAAACTTACTAAAGAACAAGGGTTCCTTTCATACTGCTTTGCCAGTTTGTCAATTGCATCACTAACACAAGGCATCAACAGCTGTGAGCGCTGGGACAGATAACAATGCTGGCAGTCACTAAGTAGGGAACTATATCTGGAAAAATCAAAGATACATAATTTCAGTGAGTACATGTTAAGACTGATAAATTAAGGAACCATGAATAGAAAAATATTTTTTATTTAAAAGCACAGAATAGGGGGAAATAAAAGGAGGCAGAGTGTACAGTGCTGTCACAAAGGGCACTAAAACAGTGAAATCTGCTTTAATACACATCTTTGAAAATACCACCATGATAAAAAATCAAAAATAATACACAAACAAAATTGAGGGTGAAGGTTCACTGTGGGGGCAGGGTCCTGTTTTCTTTTTTTCTTTTAAGGAAAGCACCATTTTAGCAGGGTGGGCGTAGAATTAGATTTCTGCTATATTTTCCACTTGAATGATTACTCACTCAGAGCTCAAATGACTTCTTTGCTCAATTTGCTCCATTAGACTCTAAACAGAGATCCAAAGTCAAGATCAGAATTGCAAGACAAAGTGTACTAACAATGGATATAACAAAAACGAGATCCTGTTTTCTTCCTGTCAAACAAAATAACAAAATTATTGGGCAGTAGCTAGTACTTCTTAAAACACCATTCTTTTCATGATAATGCTTTACATTTCTTCCGGTATTTACAAATTACAATGATGCAAAAATAATGGTTAAAAAATTCTTTTAAATGATTTTTACAAAGTACATTTTTATATGGAATGAAGATGATGTGAACTGCAGAAATACAAGTTGAAGTGAAAAAAAATTATGCAGTGGTTACACAGTGGTAAATGGAATTTGTGCAAATGCAAAGTAACCCAAAAAATTTTATGTAGGATAATTTGTTCATATTAAGAGTACCTTTACTCGTGGAGCACATGTCCTAAATTTTCCATAGAATAATGCAAAGGAGTTCTCTGATGTGTTTGTACCATCCTGCTAATAAAGTCAAATCAGTGATTTGAAAGACGAGTTAGCAATATAAAGGAATGTTAAAATTTCAAGTAGGTGAAGAAGCTGTACCGAATGATGATAATAAAGGTTCAAAACATTTTAAAACACCACTGTAGTGTAGCTTCAATACAAAAAGCCTGGCTGAAATCATCATCTCAACACTTTGCACAATTCACCACATTCTTTGCATTATAAACTGTTCTGTTCTGCCAAATCTTCAGTATGTCAACACAACAATCTGCCTCATGCTGTTAGCACTTAGAATATCTACACTTCTACAACAACAGGAACTGTAAACAAGGTGGCTAGCTTACCTTGTTTGCTAAGACTTGAGCAGTAGCATTTTTCAGTAAGCTCACTACATGTGATTTCACTTGGTTGAGAGCCTGGTTCAAGCATTGTTTGAACCGGACAAGATACACGGAACTCTCCTTGTATTGTTGCTGAAACAGTAAGAAAACAATGATATATTAAACTTAACTTAATAAACTTATGTAAACTTGAGAGAACAATGCAATCATTCAAGCTCTTAATATTCTTAAACAATTCTAATAAAAATGTAGCCTGCATAGCTGGCTGTTTTGTTGCACGCACGCAAAAAAAGTTTAGTGAGCAATCCTCCAAGTTTTGACCATTTTGGTTCTGATGGCACCTAAATTTTGGAGCTGGCAACTTGATTTGTAAAAATGTCTCCCTAAACCAAAAGAGTTGGTTGCCAAATGGCGACCGAGTAAAAACTTTAACTTGGAGGGTTGGTGAGTACCAAGCCCAAAAGTGCAAATTGCCATTTTCCAGGCAGCTTTACTGATCACTTAGTTTGCTTGTGTGTTTGACAAACAAAACTACCAGCTGTGCAGGCTAATGAAAAAGGTAATGTTAGACTTACATTGCTTGATATGAATGAAATGCACTCATCAAGTCGTGCCAACATTGGAACAAAAGACTCACTTGTAACTGAGAAGGTAGGAGAGTTGAGTTTCTAATTCGGAAATAAAACAAGAAAGTCATTATTAGGTTCCTATTTACAAAAACAAAAACCAAAAAATACAAGCAAACAAACTTCACCGCCCTAAACTGTTGATAACAGAAATAAATTTTTTGGACTAGCATACTTACATGTCTAAGATGATCCAAAGCATTAAAGTAAGACAACTTGTTACTGATGCTTTCAGCCATGTTCATCAACTTTGTCTGAAATTAAACATGGTATACATATTGTAAATACTGACCTGATAAGGGTTGGCCTAGCAGGTTGTCCAACCTTCCCGATCTTGTCAGGATTCTCCTGATTTTGCTTGAAAATCTGAGTCCCGACCAATATCCGATGATCCAATATATTGTTATATCTGTGATTTTTAAATCAATTTTTACTAACTTACACAAGAACACCCAACAGAGTATACTGACTTACTTATATCCAGAAAACTTTAAAAAACCGCATGATATATAAAACAAGATTGAGTACTTGTATGTGAAGCTATGTAAACATAAATACGCATGAAAATGACAATCAATTTAGTGAACATTTTAGACAGGAATTGTCCCCTCAGAACACTAGAAATGGCATTTCAGAGCATCAAGAGTTCAAAATTTGTAGGGGAGCATGCCCCCACAAACTCCTGGCAGCTTGTGCCTTCAGCAATCGTGAGATTCATCAGTGATTGAAAAATATCCCAATTAAGGTTGGACAGTCTTCCGAGATTCATCAGTGATTAACTAGAAAAACTATCTTATTTATCATTCTCAAACTCATTAATAATTCATAAAGAAAATACAAAGAAAATTAATGTTTACAGTCTTTGGAAATCTGGCTGCTCAGTATTTGCATCCTTAATTTCTCCTTCAAAAATGATTTTGTTCATTTTCATCACCAATGAACATCAAAACCAACCACTTATTTATCAGTGAAATTTTTGTTGATCCTCAACCTGATCCTGGAGAAGTTGTTCACAGGCTTCATGCAGGGCTCCTGTTTTTGTAGACACCAGCAAGTGTTTCTGCTGTAAATCCTGCAGATGACGCAGTGCGGATTCCACTTCATTAAGAATACTGTCACAGTGTGAGCGATATGAACTCAGCTGCGCAGCATAAGCTCTGAGGAAATGAACCAAAACAATAATTTTACAAACTGGTGACTACACTTTCAAAGATTATGGACAAAAGGAATGATTGAATTTAACTGAGTGATAAAAATTAATAACTTGATATCTGCTGGACAGTTGAGTCCTACCTTTGTTCAATTTGGAACATTCTTCAAAGTAAAGGCTACCTTTTCAGACATTCAGTTGCTTCTGGAAACTTTTCCACTGGAACAACCCGAAAAATTATGTTTGGTTTCCAAGTGGACTTCCCAGAACCCTTTTGTAAGTAGAAAACCACCGGGATGTCTATTGATACCCAAAGTACTATTAAATTTATACCACATGACTTGTTTTATTTAGAAACCAATTATTTTTTGTACACTACCTATATGACGATTCTTGCTCCTCTTCCATCTGAGCTTCCACATTTGCAAACCAAGTAAAAAACTAAGAAAATAGAGAAAACACCATTATATTTGTTATGTCAACACTAAACATAAAAATTACTCATTGTTACTTATGACAACACATAACACCCTAAATCAAATTATATGGGCGTGTTCACACACTGTTACATACTGTATGTGTGGGGCGAAGTAGGCCACCTTTTCTTTCTGGCCTTCTTGGCGGAGTACAGTCATTACTTTTTTAATCATGATGCAGTGATACATTTTTGAAACGACATCTGGGAAAAATTGTGAACAATATACCACAACATAAAAGATCATTAATGCCAGCAACTTTTGTGCTGTTGCCCTCTCTAAACAGACAGTTTCTGGCAGGCTCAATAGGTACACAGTTTTATAAAGTCTGGACAAGAAAGAAAATACATTATCTCTTAATGGATTTCATTTCAGCCAAATCTGAGAGATCATAGCTACCTGCTGGGCATTCTCTATTTTTTCTGATCCTAAATCCACTCGAGACATATCCATAGCAGTCTCTTTACTGGAATCGCTTAGGATCCTCTTTGGAGGCAGATTAATACAGTCATCATCAGGTAGCTAGAGACAATTAGAACATCATTTCAGTGCTTTTGTCTTGAATTTCAAGAACAGCTGTTGAGCAACATGTTTTGGTTGCAGGTTTACCTCGTCTAAAAGAGGGCGATCTCCTGCCACAGTGGTCAGTTCAAGTACACTGTTCCTCTGTTTATCTGTTAAAGGCGCTAGAGGAGAATCCTTCACGTCCCACAAGCTCAATTTTTCTCTAACCTCAGCAGTGTAGGAAGACGAAAGTCCTACAGAGACCGCCATGTTGGCACTTTGGATCCAAATGCATTGTGGGTTTTATTTTGATTATATGTGACCAGCGGTATCCCGAAGGAAAACAAAATGGCGGCTGAGCTATCGACTTTGGTGGCTTCATTTCTGGACACAAATCCCCAGATTTATGCGCCATTATTCCTTGAATGTGTTAACTCAAAGCGGCATCTTAACAATGAGGTGAGTATTTAAGCTAGCACTGAACTGTTCCTTTTCTTCCTCCGAGATTTTTAGAAACTTTTAACGCAACTACTCGTACGTTTTGTACCACGTGCCGCTCTGCGCATTTCAACTTACCGTTTGATAAAATTGCATTACACGTGGTTTGCTTTGTTTATTTTAGAAAATTCCAGACGACTGGATTGGCAAGGTCCATACTTTTCTTAATTCGAAGACTGACAGGTATTTTGATATCACTGTACTGACAGAAAATTCTTGGTTTGCAACCACGTGACAAGGCGGCCATGTTGGGGGTCAAAACAAAAGAATATTTCCTCGAAGAATTTACATGAAAATAGAGTTTAGTTCCCAGAGGAGAGAAATGCTTTTGTTCTTGACCACCAACATGGCCGCCGTGACGTCACCTGCAAACCAGCAATTGTCATCTGCTTTTCGAGGTTTTGTTGTCATGTCAAGTTCAAATTAGGTTAGTTTTTTTTACCAGTTGGTTAGGTGTGTGCCTTCTTGGAGTCACCATTGAACAGTGTGATACAGATACTTTTACAAAGCACTGTGCCTCCTGGCTAAGAACCATTCTTCAAATAATTCAGGTAAAGAAATGTCTGGTAATGCAATGCTTTAATTCACCCTGCCAGAAAAGCCGTTTTTTCACTTGCTTGATTTTGTCATACTTGAGAAAGACTCAGCATGAATCAAGTAAGATCTTCGTTTAGCATGCGTGGCATGTTACTTGGGTAAAGTTTCAAACCCAGGACTAATAGCTGTGTGCTTGCTTCAGTGGGCTCGGTTACAGCCATCAATTTATCGATGAATGGAAGCCTGCATTAAAAAAAGAAAAAAACAGTTTGATGAGAGAGAACAAGATTGCTTGGTGTAGAAGTTTGGGCAGTGGTGTCCTCAAAGGTTCTACATGATTCAGACAGAGCCTCTTTCTCCTCTCCACTCAAGAAGACCAAAGGAGACTCTGTTCACAGGGTGTGCATTAAACAGCAATTTCTAAACTGCTAAGGACCACTCGGAGAACCTTGGGAGGGGTGTAGGGGTAGGGGTAGGGGTCTTCTTGCACAATTCAGGTAAAAGTAAAAAAGGATCCTTACGTTTAGGTGGTTGTAGGTGCTATACCCCAAATAACTTTTAGAAAACCAAAGGAGGCAAACAAAGGAAGGAGGAATCATTGATAGGGTATGCCACTGACCAAAGATATTTCTAGAGTATGCCACTTAGAGTAAAATCTTTAGTATCAAACTTGTTGCTTTCCTACACACACACTGGAAACAAGACAGTTATATCTGGAGTAATGCCCCAGGATTCTCCTGGTTACCCCTTTGAAAGTCCCTAGGGAGAAGCTGCTAACTGTTGTATAAGTATACTTTTTCTTTTTTTGGAAGTTTTTAGAAACAGACCCTTTGTCTCTTGTGTGGATGGGAACAGTTGTGACTGGGATGATGACAGTTATACGGCTCAAAAACTCTCCAAATTTGGGATCTCCTTAGCCTGGTATATTTTCAGTTTTATTGTGAAGACTGCTGTTAACAACAATGTCTATCTTATTAATGTTTGCAGACTCAAGAAAGACCAAACATCACACAGTACTGCAGTGTACTCATTGATAAAACTTTGCAATATGCTGTTGAGGTATTACAGAAAGAGACATGAAATGTTTATAATAAATGCCCATGTGTGTTTTGGGGAGTTGGTCTTTATGACCAGGATTACTGTTGGTGTTTTAGAGTTAGTTTTCGTTTCTTTTAACTCGTAAGAGTGATCAGTGTCTAATTTAAAAATAATAATAAAACAATAACACTGCTTCATCAAACCTAAAGGGCATGACTATAATAATAGTATAATCACCAAAAAATTAATGTACAGTCTGTCTTAGTTTTCAGAACTTTCAAGAGAATTGGCAAACTCCGTGTTACCTACTATTATATCTACCATGTTGTCCAAAAAATGCGCGGTGAGTGTTATAGAAAGACACCTATAATGACTCTTGTACCAATATAGAATGCAGTTAGTACTTTCATCATCAGCTGACTGAAGAACAGTCAACTATAAGGCGTCTCCAACCGGGTCTTGGGTAGTGTGCTACTGCATGAGGTCGTCCTCTGAGAAATACTTATTGTGGTTGATCCATTCCTGGGCTTGGTTGGAAAAGGACTTCTACAGTCTGGGTGGTGATCTTCTCCCCTGAGATGGATCATACAACTCATAGATGTTGGTGGGTTCGTCCTTCGCTGTACTTAACTTTTTTCACTTCCAGTTATTGAATCAAAATGCTTCTTTACAGGATATTTCCTCTGTTTTGTCCATCCTTTCCTCCTGTGTGTGTCACTTTCCTGGACCAACTGGACCTTTTAGAGTGAGTAACTTTATAATGGCTGGATTTACAAACAAGAGTGATGAATGACAACAAGAAAATTGGTACATTACAACCAATGGATCCCTTCCCCAAGCCAACATTTTGCCCTAAGTGAGAGCTAAGTGTTAACGTCGGCTTAGGGGAGGGGAAGGACCCAGACTCCCTTTTTTGTTCCTGAGCCAAGGGAAAACAACACTTTTGTCAAACTAGCTTAAGGTATCATCCAGGGTAAAAAATCGTCATTTTTTGACATTGGCAATTTTTAGATGATTAAATGGAGCTCATCAAGAGCTTTCTTTTAAAAAAAATTCCATACAAACAAACCTTTCACCTTTTTTACCTTAACATTTTGCCTTTCATTTTAGAATCAGATTGAGAATTTCCTGTTACCTCTCTTAAATTCAACCTGTGAAAACACAAGAAAGGTAAGCAACAAGTAATTAATGATTCTAAATCATACTTAGAGCTTGTAGATTGAAGGCATTGGTAATTGGTTTTGTCTCTATTCACTGCTTGCAGGATAGCTGTCATTGTTATGCCTTGTTGCCGAGGTGCAGTCGAAGTAGTTCAAGTGGAAAAAGGCAACTTTGTCCTTGGGAAACACAGTGGAATAAGATTGTTTCTGCAATTCACAAGTTACTAGATGTTGCCTATGAAAATGTTGAACCTGGTTTGTGATAGACTATCATCATTCATTACTAAGTCTTATTTCCATAGACTGTTAATTTGATTGAGTGTTAGGTTAGGTGATAGTGATAAAATTAATTCCATACCTGTCCTTTTTTCTCCAGTCTTACCTGAATCCTCCCCGGAATCTACTCAAGAGTCCGAAACATTACTCCTCGGTGAAATTCCACAGGTTGAACCTGGCCGGACATACACCCTCGTCACCCGATGTATGACACTACTGCAATGTCTGTCTGTAATGATCAGGTACTCTAATTTTCTTATATTATTTTTATTGTCATATCTGTCTGTAATGACCAGGTATTTCTATTACATGCATAGAGGTATCATCAGAGACCCAAGGAGTACTTTTTGAATATACATGGTGGATAGTGATTAGAAGTCGTTTTTGTGATTCTGCTTTAGTTTAGCCACCGACCCACTTATAAAGAATGCTCAAGGCTTTGCTTAAAAATATATGTCTATGTGTAGTAGCTTTTATTGGCTTCAGGACTCCTTTGATTTCAAAATAATGCTCTTTTTAATGAAGAGTATACTGAAGCATGCTCTCACAGATTAATTTTATTATTATTATTATTAAAAATTTTTTTTTGATTTTATTTATTATTTCAGAGAGCAGTACTTTAAAGTTGTCACAGTTCCTGTTGAAGCTACCATAAACCTTGTGAACAGAATAATAGCAGTCACAACTAACTCTCTGGTAAGTTCAATGGATTACTGTTTATATCTCATTAAAAAACTTGCTTTAGTGTTTGGTCATTGGCAATTGGGCATTGGGCATTAGGGCCAAGAATGATTTGATTGAATTATTGATTGACCACCAAACAATAGCTTCCCAGAGCACAATTCCCAACTCCCCCGGGCAAAGAAACCCTTATAGAATCAGCTATATGAAGTTCATTGCTTAGAATACTCTGATATGTAACTGGTACGATTTGAAATATGTTACAGATGAAAAAATTTACCATTAATCATTTTACTCTGCGTAGATATGTTGCAGTTGATTTTATATTTCTGTTAATTTAGTTCTTCCCTTTTTACTGAAATTCATTAGCACACATTATCACATCCAAAGACAATGGGAAAAAATTCAAGGAAATCCTACCAAAAAAATGAACTGCAACAGGTATAATTAAGTAACTTATGCCGAGTTTTTCCCATGAATATTTACCATTTCATTTGCAGAAAAATGCAGTAATTGTAGAATCAGTACTGCTAAGAGCAAGTATACCTTTGATCCATACAAGTGCAGTAGATGTGCTAAGTAATCTCATAACCAGGTATGTGATACCTTGGTAGCATTTTCACTGTCTTGTTGCCTATGAAGATGAAAAAGAAGATGACAAAGTTGGCTCCTGGTTTACTGCAGCTACCTAAATGTGTTGTCATTGTTTCTCTATTATTATTATAGGGCTACTATAGTGCATGTATGCGGCACGCGCTCTGATTGGCTGCTTGGCATACATTATTTTGTTGAAATGACAGGGCATTAGGTTAGGTGTCCAAGGAATATACAATCTGTGTTTAATTTGATAGTGGACATCCATGTTATGGTCAATAGACATCTGTCAAAAAGGATATCTTCTGACCAGTGTCACATGACTGTATCATAGGCTCAAGTGTACAGTCAATTAAGGTGACTTGTTTCTTTAAAGTTATCCACTAACCAGTCATTGGTTTTAATTATTGATGCAGGCTCAGGTCCATAATGCAAAGGCCACATAATAAATAACTTATTAACCTTGTCCACTGAGTCATTAGAGGGAAATTTCAGACCTCAGCCTCGATGTATTGATGATCAATACACCAAGGCCTTGGTCTGAGATTTCCCTGTGATGACCTCACTCTCGGCTAGTAAGTGGTATATAATGTAAACGTCAAGTTCAAGCAATTTGTAGAGATCAGTCTAGAGAATGTTTCTCTAGGTACGACAGTGTTCCTGTCTTTTTCAAATTCCAGTTCAATCTAGAATGCATTAACACTTGCTAACAAATTGTTGTCCTAAGGGTAAACAAATTGCATGTTCAAAATTATGTATTTTAGTTTTTTTCCTAATAAAAGTTTGTTCCCATTACTGTCTCCTGTAGGTGTAGAGGACTAATTCTGCCTCACTGTGATTCAGTAGTAAGAATGCTGATTCAAGAGCTCACTTGGACAAAGCAGCAAAATCCTTCACATGGTCAAGACAAATCTTACAGGTCAGGAGACACTTCACTGGATTATGGTAACTTAAGAGTGCACAATGGAATTGTTGGGCCCAGTTTCCCTGACATTGGCTGTCTTTTTCTACCCTTGATAGGAAACTAAGGTGTAGTGTGTATCTGTGCATTGAACGCTTGGTTCAACTGACAAGGAGCCTACCTGAGGGGGGTGGTGTGGTGGCTAAACTGGTACAGCAGATGTTGGATGATGTAAAACCTATGGCTTCTCAAACTAAGGTAATGATATTGAACGGGGTAAAGGGTCTGAATCTTTGAAATATAAAGAGATGTTCCAACTACCAATTTCAAACACATTTGTTTAAGGTTGTTACACAGTAAGATTATGTGACATGTAAGTTTATTTTTACCATCATCTGTACTTATATATAACATTTAAAATAATAATTTATTTTGTTCTGCTTCATTTAGTTATTGCCAACTACAAGCACTGGGAATCAACAGATGTCCAAAAAGGTAACCCTTTTCAACCGAAACCCTTTCATGTCCAAACATCTTAGGCCATTTTCACAATGACCTTATCTTACTACAGCCACCAACCTGTTTTCCTTCTTCTAATATTACTTGTAGTAATCTCCATTAGGATTCAATAACAAAATCAGTAATTTGAACAACAAGGTACCGGTAACATCCTGTTCAAAGGTGTCTGATAGCTGCAGAGACATGTTGCCATTGTGCAAATGGCCTCTTATGGGGGACAAAATACTACAGTGAACACTCAAATAATAAAAAAACACAAAATTAAACATTCATTGTACACTTTTCTTTCTCTGGAGGCAAAGAAAAGAAAACTGCAAGATGATGTTGATCAACTACTAACAGGTACTTATGTCTTGTTGATAATTTTTTAAGACATTTTTGCTTTTGCCCCTGTCGTTTTCTGTGTTTTTGTTATAAAGACTGTTTTACATGATTAGTATCTACATACATACATACTCTATTTGAATAGGTAGTTCTATCTCCCTTTTTTGCACAGGTCAACAAAAGTTTGATACAAAGGCAAATGAGATGGTCACTTACAGAGCTCTAAGAGGTAAATTTAATCACAATCATTCTTCAGCTTCTAGTTAAAATAAATTTGTATTCCATTTTGCCCCATATATTATAAGGGAATCTATGACAGTCTAAGCTGTGGATCCAGATTCCAGATACTGGATTTGGGATTCTTTGTCAGTGGAACTTGGATACCAGATTCCAACCGTCAGTGTGTGTTTCCAAATTCCTTGAGCTGTATTCTGGATTCCTTTGCATGGGGCGATTGCACTGCATCAATAGACCTTGTTTTTTCAAAGTGTAGGAGGGATTTAGTGAGCTTACTATTTCAAGATCAGTCACTGCCTGCACGTATTTGATGATTCATTGTAATCACTGCAAACTATGTCCATATGTTCCATTAACTATTGTTATCCTTTTTAAAAGCTTTATCTGCAGTTCTTATTGGTTCTGGGAATGACATTCCTCAAGGTACATTTAGGGTATGTTTTGAGAGAAGAATTCTTCACTTGTGTTTGAACTGTCGGATACTCTTTTCTATCTTCCGTGCATTCTCATGGGGCTTATTATTATTTGTTGTTAGGAAATTCAAGTATACATAATAAGGCTCATTATTCAGTGTCAGCAGTCGCCGTATGACTCCTTCCCGATACCATTCAGCAGTCCTGACTGTCGGCAGGCTTTGTACCACGTTCTTCAGTGTTGTCTTCTTGTAAACTCAGCTAACGTTCCGTCACCTGTCAATCATGCTGTTAGATTGTTTAGTGAGGGACTTCAAGATGCTGATCTCAAGGTACTTTGCTATGTTTTAACCCCTTAGCTAACAGATGATAGCATGATATCCAAAGTGTTCAAAGCGTAATTAATTTTTAAGTGCAGGGCTGTCACTAAGATTGCAAGTTGCTGGGTATATGAAATCTATAGGCTGGGATTGAACACCTAGGAATTTCTTTTGGTTCTATTTTCTACTTGTTTGCTATGAAAGTAGCCAGTGATCCAGCTTAACCCTTTATTAAGCCCAATATCCAAATACAAATTCTCCAGACTGATCTCCATACATACATTTCCTTGAAGAATTGGTCAAGAGAATTTGTTTGTATATAAAAGCTTTTCTTATCAGGTGATTATTTTATTAATTCTCACAACATTTTCCCTTGATTATGTATTGATTTTGTGTGGAGAAAATTGACTTTGGTCACCCTTGGGACTAAAGGGTTAAAGAAGCTGGAGGAAGCTCCGACCCCAACCCTTAATTGACAGCTCTGAAAGTGCCCAACATAAACTACAAAGATGGTGCTATCAAAATGCTGCTTTTCACTGGGGGGATCAGGCAATTAAACTAAACAAAACCACACAAGATCTTTCATTAAAGAATACATTTAATGAAAATGCTTCTTGGCTAATAAGCACCTACAGGCCTGGGAATTCTCGCGTAAATAGATGGGTTGTTTTTGTCAAACTAAATTGCAGCTCTCTGTGGATAAGAAAAGGTACACCTGCCTGTTTCCAGCTGGCTGAGCAATATTATTTCAGTTCTTTTTGTTTTCAGGTATCAAGTTTTTGTCAGGAGGCCTTAGCTATAGCTAACTCCATCATCCATCCAAGGTCCTTTCCACAAGTGTGCTCTGCTGCTGGGCCACTGTCACTAAGTACCTCTGAACACCATCCCAGTAATGGCCCCTTGTCCACTGACTTTGATCAAAGTTCATCCGTGTCAGTTACTTCAAGATCACTTGTTCAAACAGGAAATGGAAATTCTTTATCTCAGCAAAGCATTTTGAGCAGAGGATCATTTGAACACAGCAATGGTGTTGGATATTCAGAAATAGGGCAAAACTCCTTGAGATATACAGAAAAGCATCAGGCTACAGAAAGCAGTGATGTCAATTCCTCTTTAACTAGCATCAGGAATACATCTGTAGAATATGAACATAATACATTTCAAAAAAGTTCTGTTAACCAAAATGAAACATCAAACAGCCAGGCAGACCACTGCATAGTAATGGACAATGCTAGCCAGTTAGCAAGAATACAGGTTTCCACGTCAAGTTCTGACAGCTCAATGCCACAGTTGCTTAACCACGAAGGATTCATTGAAGCAAATAAGAGTAAAGCATTGCTGGAAAATACCACCCATGAAAGAGAAGAAAGAGATGTTACTACATCTTTCTATCAGTCAGCAGTATTGCGTGATATGCATAACACTTTTGGATCATCTGAACCAAAGAGAAGAAGAGCTGATGACAGTTGCATTGGTTCTGATCAGATGTTGAATGACAAACAGCCTGAAAGTACACCAACAAGCAAAGAACAATGGATTGGCCACAGTAAAGACAAAGAATGCGAAGAGAGAGGAGAAGAAGCAACAAATGAAGTAAGTAAAATATTTGTAGTTTTTGAATGTTTCTTATCATCAACTGTTAAGTGAAAGCAGTTTGTTGGTGTGACAATGAACCACATCTGAACCACAAAACAATAGCTCATCAACCATTTCCTCCAGTCATCTTCAGTTTGGTAAAAGTTAGAAATTCTTAGGTACAGCCAAGTCTCTCTTAACATCTTTATAAGATGGACACCTCACTAAAACAGACACCTAGAGTTGGTCCCTGCCTTTCCTAACTCTTTTTAGTAGCCTCTCTATAAGATGGACATCTGTCTAAGATGGACATGTAGTGCTGGCCCCCACCAAAGATGTCTGTCTCAGAAAGAGTTGACTGTATTTGATACGTTGTTTTACTTTATCTGACCAAGGGTTTCGTTTCAGCCTGGATGCCAGACGCAACGTCCGGTTGTTTGACATGTAATGTCTGGTAGTTCACACACAAAATAATTATTATGTTTTTAGGTGTCAAAATCTTTTTTTTAAAATTTATTTATTAACCAAAGAAAGACTTGACCCTTATTTTACTCACTTTGTTATGTAATGCATACAATCGAGAAAAAAAAAAAAGAGATAATTCCTGTCATAATTCTGGTCACCCAATTCCGAACCATAGAAAGCAGGAAACTGCATTTTAGAGAGTCCAGGCATTTCCCTGCCCCCCCTAGGAGTTCGTGCCTCCGACACTCAATGTTCACGCCAGTGGCACGAATGGTACACGTCTGCCAGCTGAACCACTGTATCCGGTACTTCCAAATGCTACCGAAAACCCTGTCTGACCCTAATTTTTTTGCTTTTCCAGGATAATGATGAGACTGTTGAGATGTTAGCGTCATTTGTTGACTCCTATCCAGACTCAGATGAGTGAGAATTTGAATATGCAAGACAAGTGCCTTTCTTCATACCTTTCTGGCTCTGTAAGCAATTTTTTTTAGTTAAATACTTTTTTGACTTTTTGAGACTAGTCAGTAGTAATAGCCAAAGGTTTCAAGGTGCGGGCAACAACGATTGATGGTCAAAACACTTTTGCTCCGATGCTGAGCTTTGCGCAAGGTTCATGTGATAGATGGCCAAAACACGTGTGACCAGATTACAAGTGATCAAGGTACATTTTGAGTGATCAAATCATGTTCTGTGCATTCCATTCTTTGTAAGTGGAAGAGTGGAAGTTCAGACAAATGCCGGCTACATACATGGGATGCATGTGTAATTACAACATGGAGCTTGGGAACTGGAAATATAATGATATATTATAATAAACCTTATACGCTGTCAAGAGGGTCCTTATTGTAGCTTAAATGTTTGACAGTTAATTATCATTTCAGCTTAGAGACAATGGGATACACAATTATTGCTAAAATATGAACTAATTATTTATACTGTATTGTACAATAAACCACACTCAATCTGTATGTCAACAATGTTTTATTTTTATTTTGCACATTTATTTACACTGCATGTGCATTCTTTTAATTACTAAAAAAGTAATAAGAAAAATCCCCAAAATTATTTTACTTCATTTGTAAGCATTGGTATTTACAATAATTCACAGCATAACAGTTATTTTTCTCCTCTTCTAAAACTTCCTTGCACAACAACAATCACAACTGGAAAGTGTTTCCCTTTAAAATTCTTTAAACTCACATAAAACAGATTTAGCTAGGGTTTTCTGTTATTTTGTGAAAATCAAGCCAATGCTAAGAAAAATAATTTGATAACTACCCCTAGCATAAATATTTATAGTTTAATTTGCATTATTAGAACAAGCTTCACTTCGCAACATGTAACCATCAACAGTTCCTTTCTTCCTCTCTACCTGTGCATTTTTCTGATTTGTTAAATCAAACTCGTTTTGTAATTTCAATGCAAATTGAAAGTCTCTGTCTTCTTGCTCCTTTCTTTCATTAATAAGATCAGAGATGTCGTGTGATAAATAATTAAGTCCAGATGCATCTGAGTCTGTTGCTCTCCAATGATTCTTATTCTTTACAAGGTCACATCTGCTCTTTTCTAAACCTATAGAAAATGGGAGTAACTATTATAAGTAACCACAAACCACAAGACTAGTCTAACTGATTATTATTTTTAAATGACTTAGCACTAAAAGTTTTAGTTGAACTGCAGGAAACAAAATAGTAATAGTAATATGTAAAAAAACATTTTATCACATCTTTGCAGATTGATTCAAAAAGTAAACTTGTTTATTGCAGTTGCTATAAGTATGGTTGAGTACATAGCTATAATGGTCTTTCAAATTGCTAAATCTTTCTCCTGTGTTTCAAATATAAGAAATTTAAAAATGCACACTTTCATAATCTATGACAATCTTAAGTCAGTGGTAGGTCTGATTTTTAAGACTGATTTGTTTTGTAGGTTAAGAGCAAGAACATAGGCCATAACTTCTCTAATTCAGCTTAAGTTCAATGCAAACATCATATTGTAAAACAAGAATGTGCATTACCTTGATTGTCTGGTTGCTTGGTAGGAGAAAACCATCTATCCAGTGTGTTGCAGCCATGATGGTCTTGTGTTCTCTGTGATTTAATCTTCTTTCCTTTCCCTTGTTTTGAATTTGCACCAGTTGACAAAGTTTTTGATGAGCTTGGCTGTGAAAGTATCTGTTTTCCTTGTGAATTCTAAAAAACGTAGGAAATATTGATGATAATAATAATAATAATAACAATCTTTATACAGGGAGCTCACTTCACAAAGAGTGATATTCAGTGAGGCCTTGTAAAATAATAGAAAGATAAAATTAATGATCTTAGATAAATAAATACATAATAGAAGTAAAGAACTAAAAACTTCACTAATATAAGCTACAGCCACGTTAAAAATGTTAAAATGTCAGATAAATATAAATATAGCCACGGTATGCTTTGCAAAGTATACAAATTCTTATTTACTTATTCTGTTCCTTGTATTTTGACGAACGGAATGGTAACTATGAGATTATAAGGCAGCCTTCTTGTTCCTATGTCATATACACTCTAACTGACAAACGTAAAACTAAACCTCTGCCAACAAAAAATGGGTATACAATTATTAACAGTTAAAGAGCAGCATATAAAGAGTAACCCTTCTGTCATTTTTTGTATACTTTCACCATAATTATAGCTCGTTCTGATTTAAACTTAGGGTGGCTGAACGCCCCCTATGACAGTGCCAGTAACTCTACTGTTCCCTTATACTATGGCAATCAATTTTATTTACCTGTTCTTTCTCTTCTAACAATATCTGTCTGGCAAGTTCTTCATCTTGTAGTGCCTGGTGCTCTATTGACCTTGCAAGTTTTTGTTCCTCCTCTAGTAGTTTACGTACAACTTCTTCACTTGCCTGCATCTCTTGTTCCCTTGCTTGTTGTAACTGACATGAGAAAACATTACACTCATTAATTTAGTTAAACTCAGCTTGACTAAATTTTCCTTTTCTTGCCCTATCTGATTTTGAGGTTCTCTTTGTAAAGCACCTTTTGGTGACTGCAGCTTCCTCTTTAAAATAACTTTACTATTATTACTCACGGATATTCATAAAATTTGAGATACAGGCAGGTGGTTTGAGAATAGAGTAAACCAATAATGTACAGTCACACCTCCACTAACAGCCATTTTTTTGCCGAAAGTCTTTGCATTCACTTTTGTTTCAGACTCTCTACAATGACCACCTCTCTACAGTGGCCACTTTTTTCTGTGCCAAAGGTGGCCATTGTAAACAGTACTTTTGGCCAGCCATTAGAGCTTACTGAGATTCTATATTATTAAAGTACAGTTTACCTTTCTCATTTCTTCTTCATACTCTTTGCGAACCTCCCCATCCTGTGATACTGCTCTTTTGAGGGGTGGAGTATCTGTGGTTTCAAGAAAACTCATGTTTCAATTAGCTGTTTAACCTATAACCAGCCTGTTACTTAACACATCATGAGCATTGGGTCTGCTAATCAAAAGTTACCGGCAGATTTGTTTTGTTTTCCTTTAAGCTAAGTTCATAAAGTGCTTTCTTTCCCAACACTCAACCGAAAACTTTCGGAAACTGAAAAAAGAAAACAAACAAACAAACAAAGAGGAATTAGGCCTAGGATAGTGTGATTCAGCTAGCTACAGGTAGTTTTAACCTTTTTTGCCAAGCAATGGGAAGTGAAATGCTCTATGGGCAAAGCCTAACGTTTCTCACTGGCGAGTTATTTTAGTGCAAGTTTCCTTTGAAAAAGGCTAAGGATACACAAGTTAAACTTTTATTTGTAATACAGTAATTTCTTAATGTTTTGGGATAATTACCAGAACAATAATAATCACCTCGCCGTATAGAGAGGAAAAAATTGCAAGTAAGGCGCTCTGTGTGAATACAATAAGAGAGAAAAATTCGCCGTTTAAATGCAAATTTTCTTCTCTGTTGTTAACGTAAGACCAAGTAAATTTACTGATTATGAAACAAAAAGTAAGACAAGCTTAAGCTTATATTTCACATTCAACTCACCAAACAGATCTTCATCATCCTCTCCGCGCAATCGTTTCTGACATTTCTCGGGAAAAAGTTTTTGAATCTGTTTCCATCGCTTTAAATCGACCAAAGTTCCATTTCGGGAATTTCGTCTGGCCCAACTTGATATTCTCATTCGGCAAAGTGGACAGAGAAAATTTGCTTCCTCCACATTTTGTTTAAAGCATGGTCCACAAAGTTCATGTTCACACGGCATAACCACCGGCTCAATTAGGATTTGCAAGCAGATAGGGCACGTAAAGTCTGCAGAGGAGATGGAGTTTACATTTGCCTCGTTAAATTGTTCTGTTTCAAGCATATTAAAGCTAGTGACTCTCTGCGAAGTCGATGTTTCTTGGTCCTCTTCAGCCGCCATCTTGGATCTTTTATGATGTTTTTGCTATGGAATGCTGGGAGAATAAATTTCGCGCCAAAAATTATCCAGTCGGACCAATCGGGTGTCTGTCGCGGCGAAGGGAAACCAGATTCTCTGATTGGAAAATCCTTGGCATTTGTTCAACAACAGTAAATATGGTCTGTCAACAATATTGAGCGGTTATCTTTCCCGTTGCGAACCCTTGTGTTCTGTGATTAGAAAGGAGGTTTACGGAAGTTTAAGGGTACTCAAGGACCCCCCCAACATCGTCCCCAGGGCTTTTCCCTTAAAAAATGGGTGGGGCGGGAAAAGGCCCTGGCATCGGCTGGTCACGTGCACAGCCTAAATATTCCTGAGAAGCTAATTTATATGCAACCCGTTGGTTTTGTGCTGACAGAAGTCGAACGGAGCAATGATATATATCGCGACCTGTATGTCAATATTTTCGCGTCTGTGCGATTCAAAAGCTTAAGATCCATTTAATTGCGTTTTATTCAAATGCTACAAGTTTATGAAAGGGCGAACCGGCTCTACGTTGTCACGTACAAAATATGTCAAATGCTTCAGAGTTGAGACAAGCTGTTATATCGAGTGGTACCTCGACTGAAATTCATCGTGACTGTGGAATTACTGTACGATCAAGCAGAAAGTGATTTTTTCCAATGTCAAACAAAAATGCGGGTCTTTGCCTCTAGGATCTGCAGTGAATTTAAACAAATTCAACTTAATTGAAATAGAATTGTTCATCAAAATGCTTTATGGAGTCTGGCCTTTTCTACAACCCGACCATGAAACAAACAAATCTCCGCGCCGGATGCAAGTCAGCCCTCCAGCCAGGAACGATGACAGGTCGCCGATCTGAAACGTTTTAAGATCTCTTATATCTTTTCTCTTCCGAGGATAAGTACAAAGGATTTTCCTTATATCAAAGGGAAGATTGACCGATCGATTGGAATCAACTACAGCTCTGACAATTTTAAATGGACCCAAGTCTTTCTTTGTTACCAGTCGTTTGATACCCTGGGTGCCAGAAACTTTTCATGCGCGGTTTCCGGTTTCGGTCAAGTCTCGCAGAGGTCAATGAATTTTTTAAAAATACAGGTCATACTAGTTAAGTCTAAACCAACGGGTGTCGCTATGATATGGCTGACAGTCAAGGTGAATAGAACTACTAGGTTGTGTACGGCGGTCCACTTCGCAAGAAATAAATAAAATATCAAAAGAGTCGCGAAAACGGACTTTTCCATACCAGTACAAACTTTATGCATGTACGATAGCTTGTTTGTCATTTATATCGCTCTATAGAGGAAGTTTTACAAATGTTACCCCTCACTGTCTCCTTCATAGAAATCGGAGGAAAGCAAAAAATTACCATAGCCAGTATCTGTGACAAAAAAAGAAAACTTTTCGTTACTAGTCAAGAGATATAAAAGGCCGCCCAAGATCGCGCACTGTGAGGTCTCGCATAATTTTAGCTTTTCACATAGCGCTAATTTATTACACCCAGGATTTTAGGGTGTACGAGGGGACACGTGACCAGCCGATGCCAGGGCCTTTTCCCGCCCCATCCATTTTTTTTTAAGGGAAAAGCCCTGGGGACGAGGTTGGGACCCCCCCCCCCCCAGGTCCCATTGTACATCCTGAAACACCCCGAAGCGGTTGCAAATGGCGGGAAATTTTGGCGCCAAAATGGTGTATGGCGGGAAAGGCAGCGCGCGTCTTTCCAGGTATAAAACTGAATACCATCGTTTTTTCGGTCATTCTTGTCTTTCCTTTCAAACAAGTTACAAAACTTCGGTTGCTGATTAAAGGATTTTTTTTTTCAAATAATACTTATTTTGAAGCAATAATGCCGGCCGCAGAAGCTGAGACAAATTGTGCTACTCCTGTCATTAAAAAAGATGTTGAGAAGTTTCCTGAGAAGACCAAGTCAAGTTCCAAAGAAGACGAAGCTGTTTGCAAAGAAGTGATGACAGCAGAAGAAGAAACCAAGAAGACTGAGGAGTCGGAAAAGATGGAAAAAGAGAATTTCCCGGAGAAAGAGAGCAAAGATGAGTCAAATACGATGCCAGGAAATGAAGAGAAAACCGAGTGTGAATGTGAAGGGCCAGCGGAGAACGCTCAAGGCGAATCCACGGAGATGACGGAACATTCCAAGCGAAGGTCCACGGAAGGTGATGAAGGTAGCGAAACCAAGGAAGAAGAAAGCCCTCCGAAAAAGAGAAAATCTACTTAAGAGAGGATGAAGACCGTCTACTTTGGTATTGTACCACTAAATTTAAACTTTATGTACCCTCATTTGGCATTCTGTAAGACTTAACGAAAGATAAAGCAAACTGATTAACTTAATGCATATCGGCTTAAGAATGACTGTATTATAAAGGAAGGTTTATATTTTGGGAATTCAGGAGAATTTAATCTGTTTAGTCTCCGCACGATTATTAACCATTATTTTGACGGAAAAGCTGTGCTTAAAAGGTTTTTGAACTGCGACTTCGGAAAATGAAATTTCGCGTGAGTAAAACTTTTTTTGACAAAATCAATTTTACTGTAATTAAGCTTACTCTACTAGGCTTAGTTTAAACGAACTTGATGGAAGAGTCAGTTTGAAGTATAAGCTTACCTTGTTAGATTAAAACTTGTTATACGTGACGAAAACCATAAATAGTGACGGTATCTTTAACTCCTCCTTTTTCCAAATATGTTTTGCAGAGATGTTTGTAATATTTGCACCAGAGGTGAGCCATTAATAAAAATTGTCTACTTACTATACTCTCTCGTTTTGGCCATCTGAAGCTTGAAATAATTTAAATTTTACTATCTGGCGTTCTTCCAAGCATTTATACCAGACAAGACCACAGTTTTTGGAGTTTTTGAGATACAGTCAGAAACAGAACTATTTAAGCCCAAGACTGTAGAGCTCCTTATCTTTAATATTTTCGGCTAAGGGGACTCGAAATACGACCTAGTCAGAGAGCTGGTAGATAAGGTTAATATGCAAAAAGGAATCCTTTCGTTATCTGCCATAATCTCTAGTTATCATAAACATTTGTTTATTTGGAATCTTCAAACCTGATAACTGCGACGCTGACCTATTGTAAATTATCTTTAAACATGCTCTCTAACTCTCCGAGACTCCAACAAACTCCATGGGAAGCCACACCGCAAAAATTTTTATTTTAGCCTGAGGTGTATTCTTTTTAACCTCTATTGTTCAAAGGGAATAGGGAAACTCTTGTTCGAATTCTTTTTGGAGCTCTATGTCGGACTTGATACGTAATTGAAGTTTAATTTGCCTTCACACTTAAAGGAAATTGGTCATAAAAACTCTTCATAATAGATTCAAGTAAAGAAATAAGAAGAAACCATTGTTCTAACAAGGATAACCTCGCGGAAGAGTGATGAATCAAATAATTGAAGTCCAAATGCAAAGTGGCGAGAAAGTTGACTTGGGGCAGGAAATAATTAGGAAACCAAACCCTTCACTGAACGTAAACCAATCGTGAATCACAATCCGCCCCCGTTCATTCGCCCAACAGAGAAATTTTTGCTTAGATCTCGGCCTAACTGTTATTAGTCAAAGGGTACCGCCAGCAGCTGTTTGCCTCATAGAGTATTCATGATTGATTGTTTACATTGTTTGGTCAATTAGTATTGGACGAATACGGGAAGGGCCCATCAGTTACACCCTCGAGCACATCGTGGAACTGTCAAGCTTTAGTCAGGTTAGGAGGCTGGTGATGTGCCTACGAATGACCTCGGACATGACATAACTAAATCGGCTATCGCTTTGCAGATTATAAGATCCTCACGCAACGGAACACTTGAACGGTATTTAAACAACAATCGGCTCGCTAACGAACCAGCTCTTCTGCAAATGGCTTCTATTCGCGCACTTCATGTGGTTTGTTTGTTCACTTTCCTATTGAGTGCATGGCGGATAAACTGTCAGACGACTTGTTCAGAACACCTTGGAGCGAGAAAGCTGCCGAATATTCAAACTCCCCCACAAGGTAAGCTGTCAGTAAGATTTTCTCTCTATATATTAAAGAGTAGAGAAATATCCTTTTTTATTGATGAAACGGCAAGATTCGTTTTCTCAACAGGGAAGGAGCCACAAGTTTGTGTCAGCAATATGACTTGCTGCACTGACCAAACAGAAGATGCTCTTCGCGTTAAAGCCGCTAAAAAGATGAAAACTCTCATTGACACCAAATATACCGCTGCAAAAAGCTCGTTGTTGTCTCTTTTAGACGAACTCAAAGGTAAGTGTCTATCGACGGTGCGTTAAATATTTTGTAAGCCGATGAAAAGCACTTTCTTATTTGCTTTATATAAACAAATTCTGGACTCGACGAAATAAAGATCACAGTTCCGAAAGGATTTTGCGGTTCAGAAATTTTTAATTGTGTCAGATAGTTTAGTTCAGGTAGTTGTATAATTCCTAGACAAAAACACTCGTGTTCTCTTGGGGAATTTTGAACAATGGACATCAATAGAGCCCGAGTTATTTCCTTCAGACGCCGTTATTAATTACAATCTTTTCATGTCATACTCGACTGGCGCAAACAACATACAGCAATTGCTTATTGTACACCGTGTTAATTCACTTAAACGATTGAGGCTGAGGCGCGTCTTTAATATGTCTCTTATATCGATATCCCTGCGCTTTGAAACAATTGTTGATTTCTTCTTCGCTCTCTATGAATCAATACGGCCGTGTGAATAATGTAATATAACTGGGGTTATCGATATTCGCTCAGCAACCGCAAATTATCATTGAGGGTAGGTTTTCGATATTTCCAAGGAGATTGACTGTTTCCGGTCTTGCAGCACAGATTTACTTGATGCACTTAAAGCTCATTTGAAACAGAATGGGTTTGCATACGTTTGGGAAATCGGTACTCTTTCATTTAAATAATTTATCCCGTTTACAATTTCTCATTCATTAAATTTGTCTATGGAATCTTATCACCGTTGCTACGCAAACGTTTAAGTCTGTGAGGTAAAAACTGATTAAAGTCTGTGTTTACCATATGTCAATTAACTTTTTTAAAATAGTAGATCGTCGGTCGTAAGTTTAAGGCGAAATCATGATGGAAGTGTTATTTCTCGAAGGGGTTGGGATATTGATCTCGTGTGTTATGCCTTCGGGGTGCACAAGTTGAGCCTCGTGAAATTGACGTTTCAGAATATTGATTACCCATTGTAAAAGTCTTGAACTTTCGTTTCAACTGTGCTCAGCGGGAAATGGTCTTTTGTACTTTTCAAAACGAAAATGCATATTGCTAGTTTTCTGTGACCAAAATAAAGGTCTCCTCGGTGATTTTTATTCCAAAAGCCCTAAAGCTCAGTGAAGGATGAAGCTTTTTTAGGTAAATAATAAAACTAAAGCGTCTTATATTTCTTTGACTGAACTGTTTAGAAGTACCCGCTATATTGCTTAAAAAAAAACAAAATAATTATATTCTATCATTCAATCGTGACACTAAGTACGTCACTGGCAAATCAGTGATAGTGCATTACTGTAAATACTTAAAGGGTACAGTCAAAATTCCCTTAGTACATATAAAAACCTAAGGCACTTTTCAAACATCGTGCTACTGCCGTGCCGATCTCAATTGATTGAATTAAATTCGACTTTAGCATGGCAGTAGTGTGACGTTTGAAACCAAGTTGCGCTACTGCCGTGTAGCACGGCAAGCCTTGCCGTGCTACACGGTAGTAGCCCGACTTGGTTTCAAACGTCGTGCTAACGCTGTGCCAAACTCAATTCATAAATTATAAATACAAAAGAATATTTAAAAGTCTGCTAAACCATGCTTTATTTTTGTGTTTTGTTGTCGGCAACAGCCATTCTATTCGACTGAATTAAATTCAACGTCTGAAACCAAGTCGGGCTAGTGTCGTGCTGCAGTCAAGCTACAGTCGAGCCAGCTTAGCACGGCAGTAGCACGATGTTTGAGACAGGCCTAAGAATATAAAAAGCCCCAAGCAGTATAATCACATTTACTAAATCTGGTACGCCCTGTTACTGTGAAATGTGACTAAAGGCAAAAGTTGACAAAAAGCCAAAATTTCATTTTGTAAAATATTGAAAAACAAATACCAGTAGCACCGTGTGAAAGTTTTATTTGAATGGTCACACCATAGGATCTTGTCTGCAGACTTAAAAGTTAGAACCACCTCCCAAAACTGAGTCATTTACTTTGGCAGTGAAAGGGTTTAAGATGGAGGAAGCCAAACTGTTTGTCATCTCTGAGTGTTTGATTTAATATTGTCTGCCCACATTCTGTTTAGTCAGAGAACTAATACAATTTTACTATTACTTGGTTGGATAGATAGGCAGACAGATAAATAGATAATTATTGCTACTTTAACATGCTTTTTTTCTTTATTATTGAGGATTTTGTTATTTGTATTGCAGCATATTTTCAGCGTGTTGTTCGTGAGGCTCATCGCCAAACTGCTATTTTCCTTCTCAACACTCAGAAGAATCTTACCATGGCTGAAGTCACAGTAATATCAACTTTCTTTAAAGATCTTGAAAACTACGTGGTTGATGACCAAATGGATTTACAAGACATTGTTAATACGTTCTTTCGGGACTCCTTTCCTTTAGTTCTTGACTATGTTAACCCACCAGGCAAAACTGTAGCAGATACATACAGACAATGTTTAAAGACCAACATGGAGACAATACAACCATTTGGAAAACGTCCAGCTCATCTGGTGGGCATCTATGAGCAAATCTTTCAGCCTGTGCGTGAGCTATTGAGTAGCTTAAAGTTTGCAATAGAACTGATGAACAAGGCACAACAGTTTAATTTTACCAGTGGATGCAAGAAAACACTTTTGCAGATGGAGTTTTGTTCGTTGTGCCAAGGTTTTGACAAAGTTATGCCATGTTACAGTTATTGTAAAGAAGCACTAAGGAGGTGCTTGTCGTCTGAAATTCTATTACAGACAAAGTGGGGCAAGTTCATTGAAAATGTTTATTTGCTTTCTGAAAGTATAGCAAAGTCCAATCTGGAGAACTTGTCAAATAGAATCTACAAGGATTTGTGGGATGCAGCAATGTTTGTGTTGATCCAGAAGCATAGTGTCATGAAACAGGTAATGTTGCCACTTTAGAAATGAAAGTGGGCCAAGTTAACTTTCACAAAGACATCTGGGACTGTCACTGGGGACAGGGGAAAGAATTGACCAATAGCTGACCGGCGTGTCCCAGTAATGATTGCAGAACACTTTGCAAAAGCTAGTTTGACCCAGTCTCCTCATTTTTGAAGTGGCAAATAGAATCAATATCATGCCAGTCTTTTATTTTACAAGACTACCCCCAGTATGTGCTAAGTTTTCTGTTTCTTGAAACAACAGTGAGATTTGCTACTCGACTACCCTCCCATCCTTGCTCAAATGTTAGATATTAACATGTGTACTACCCTGATCTCTTATTTTCTCTTTGTGTTTTGGTCATGAACCATTTATTTACTCGTTGTTTATGTATTCAAAATTAATGTACCTTCAAGGGATTGTGTTTGTTTCTTGTTTTACATGGGATAGACATCATTAATAAGTTTAACTTTTGTTTCATATACACAGGTGTTAGACAAGTGTGGCACTCCACAATACATCAACGCTCCATATTCTAAAACTTCTCTCTATACAAAGTCCGTTGCACCAGCTCCTCATGTAAAGATACGTCTGTTCTCCAAGATGGATTCAGCTAAATTGAAAGTGTTGGCGCACAAGTCTTTTTATGAAGGCCTACCTGAGGAGCTGTGTGTAGTTGAGGAGCTTTCTGCCAGGCGAGAAGATTCTGAAGACTGTTGGAATGGCAAATCTATTGGAAGGTGAATACTAGTAGTAGTTGTAGTTGTTGTTAGGTCTTAAAGGGTGAACTGGCCATCCTCATACAGGGGTTTCATCAAGAATTGCAGTAGCAGGAGAATTATATTGTAAAGTAACAGGAGAATATTTTGAAAGAGCAAAGAACTTTCCCAGAAAAAGCTTGAAAACAAGCCTGGAAATTTTGCATTTTAAACCCTGCTGAGTCTGATAGCAAGTTCTATTTCTTGTAGCTGCCAAACAAAAAACACTGCATACCTCTACACGTTTTAGAAGTCATCGTTAAAATAGAAAAATCTCAAAATTTGCATTTGTTTCATAGTAATTTGATACTCTGTCATTTATACACGGTGAACTTTGCCAAATTTATTTCCATAGCAGTTCACAAAGAATTCGTTCTTTTTATTCATAAAGGTAGTTGATTCTTATCACTTAAACTTTTCTTGTCGTAACTTTGCCACTATGATTTGTTTATCTTGTACTTTATTTTCTGTCATGTTTTGTTTCATTAGTATTTATTTGTTTAATAATTTTTTGTGTGCAAATAAAAAAGTGTTGAGCTCAACTCTCCACGCTCCAACAAAGCATCTAGTATTTTACACATCCCCTGTTTTGTTGGGCTTAAAACTGCTAGCATTTAAATAGGGTCTTTTATGTATTTGTAATTTATTTAGGAATGCAAAGCAAGTGGCTAAGCGCTAAAATTATGCATTTCTGGGAATAATTTCTTTTTACATAACATATCCATGTCTGATTTGTCTGAACAAAAAATACCGTAAAATTCCAAAAATAAGCCCCTCCATGTATAAGCCCCTCCAAATATAAGTCCCCCAAACCGGTAACGTAAAAGACCCTCTGTTAAATCGTTCCTTCAAATATAAGCCCCCTGGTGGCTTCAAATTGGAAAATTGCCCTCAAATACAAGGTATAACAAAGCAAAAACGGTAAATTTACTTCCAACTCTAAGGCTAGCCCAATTGATTTTGAGGCACAAATTTCCCTCCATAGCAAAGCCCCTCAAAAAGGGCCTTTGAAAAATATAAGCCCCGGGGCTTATTTTTGGAATTTTACAGTAGCCGTACTTCATTGAAATTTAGCCGGAGAATTTTGAGTAGTAGATGGAGAATTCTCCGGTCTCCGATGCTTAATGAAACCCCTGTCATAGCAAGGGAAAATAGAGGTAACCCAAAAAAATATTATTAGAATGGTATGGTCTTCATTCCCAATATTAACTGTTGTCCCCATAGCAAAGCTCCCACATGCACAGCAGAGCACCATGGGCAGTAAAATCTGGTTATCTATCCACCCATGAAATTTTGGTTGTGATAAAAATGTCCTTAAATCCACCGCAAGACATAAATCAGATGGGAACACTAAGTGTTAAATTTGAAAGACACAAGTTATTGGAATGAGTTTTTGACAACCAGAGATTTTTTGATTGTTGATTTTTTAATGTAATATTTTCTTCGTCAGATTATTTTAAGTTAGAAACCATTTATTAATGTTAAGAATTTTATTCTGTTTGATAGATATACAGGTTTAGAATCAAGTGATGTAGAGATGAGCACTCAGGAAGGTAACCATTTGAAACTTTTGATGGACAATTTACATGAGAAGAATAGGGAAATCAGGAAGTTGATTACAGACAATGAAGTAAATGAAGCAGATGAAAGCGGCAGTAGCAGTGGAAGTGGTGGCCAAGGTAACTACCTTTACTCTGTGTATGCAAAACTGTAAATGTCATCTTTCAATGCCATTATTTTGCCAACATCAAACTTCCAAATTCTATATTCTTCATAATTCTTAAAAAACAAAAAGTACTATCCCTAAGCACTGTGGAAGATGTTTCATTTTTCCCTGATTGAATCGTCTATAATCATGATTTATAAGTTGTAATAAATAACTTTCTTTCTACCTCCGCGTAGAAAATGGAAGTGCTGATTGTGTTGAGGATGACGAAGATTGTGGTAGTGGAGGGGGATGGAGTGGAAATAAAATCAATGAAATCACTGGAGAAGATTCAAGTGAGTAATTCGTAGATTCTGCTAGCAGATAATCCATCAGTTGACATTAAAGTCTTTATTACTATAATGTCTTTCAGCAAAAGACTCAGATGTCTACATAGTCAATGGCACCAAAGAACCAAGCAATGAGATTGACGATACACAGGGTGGTGGTGTTCCCAATGCTTCACAACCTGGGAATGTACTAGCTCAAGGGAACGTGTCTTCACACTTAGCCAGCTGCCTGTTTAATATACTAGCTCTGTTTTTATTTTTGTTGCTCATCAGAAATTGGTAGTCATAATTGGGAAAAAAATTGTGGTTTTTCGTCAACAATGTTAGGAGGTGTAAGCCTTTTATTATAATGATCTTATTATTACGGGATAACACTGCAGACAAACATCATCCTGAGAATTAACAACGTAGGAAAGTCAAGGAAGGTATCAGCGTGCAAAGACAGTAGTGTGGGATAGCCCAGGGTAAGTGGATTTTGCTATTGGGCTAGTGAATTCTGTTTTTAACTTGCCCCACAGGCAAGTGATGTTTTATGAGGAGTTTGAATAACAGAAGAACAATAAGTTTTTGGGGCTAGTTGAAATGACGTCTGGGCTAGTAAACGCTAGCTTTAGCTTGCCCGAATGGCAAGCTGTAAAAATGATTTTCTTTGCACCCTGGGTATGAATGCAATAGCTTGCAAACTCTTTTACTTCTAAAATATATATATATGTGTCCACAGACTTGTTTTTCAGCAGTAACAAGGGTTGATACTTTTTATTAAATTCTAAACCTGTTATAATGTATCTCTAGCTTTATCACTGGATCTAGGTAATGATTTTAGGTCATAGTTTCACCTTTTTGGAAAATGAGGTGCAACAACAGTCAACTCAGACTGATACCCTGAAGCCTGCTTAATTACTGAGGGTTTTTTGTAATTAAATGAAAGTAGGTGAAAACAAAGAATGAGACGAATTTAATATTGCAGTTTGCCTTTGTTTGATACCAGATTGATTATAGCCAACTCATAACCATTGCGGGCCTGAGGGAAAATATTATTGTTAAATACTTACAGGACTTGTGGATGTGACATGTGTTAATAAGTTTTCTACTCTCAGTCATTAGCTGGGTGGTTACTTTTTTAGGGTGATAATGAAAGGATAGTTGCATTTTTCTTGGCTCAGAAGTTAATGCTTGACAAATATTTAATTTTGTATGATGGTCACACATGAAGACATATCGTTTTGTGAAGCAACAGGCAATAACACTTCATGTAATTTAGAGCTTTTGGTTTTAAACTCTAAAACAAGAAGTTGGTTCACTTCTAAATTAAACTTTTAGATCTCTTGCTAGCGACATTTAAAGCAAAGGCTTTTGGTTACATATTTTGAAATCAAAAGGCTGCTAAACTTGACCTTCATGCTTGGACCCCATACAGATGATTCTTGTAATTTTATTGCCAATATATCTAAATTAGTCTACTTGTTGACCTGTTTTTTTAAAGGGAATTACAAATACAGGGCTCAAAAAAGTCCTGTCTGGATGTTGTTCTTGCGTGGCAAGTCACTTTTTAAGTTGCTCATTTGCCCAGTAGTCAAAGGGTCTAACAATCAAGAAAAATGTCAGAGCTGAGTTGCTTGTCCGAAAGTCACACTAGAATTTAAGGTTTTTTTAGCCCTGCCAATGGCCAGTATTTATAGTTTTGTCTCTTTTCTAAGTAGACCAGACATATTTAAGAAACACACTTCTTCAGCCTTAACAAAAAAATTTGCTATTGTCGTCAATTATGAAATGTTATATTTTGGATACAAATTATGGGCTAATAACTTATATTCATTGATTAAATATTAAAGCAAATGAAGGCTGAAGTGAGCATTTCAATAGATATTATTTTCATTTGTGAAGCTGTTGGTAGTTGTCACATCTTCTAGTTTAATATCCATAGTTGTATCATGGTAGGTTATTTGACTGAAAAGTTATTGTTTATGTGTGTGTAGAAAGTTTTGCATGTAAATAGAGGATAGTACATGGCTGTGCTGGAGATACAAAATTTGTCTTCGAGTGTTAAAAAATATTTCACGAGAGAGTGCAGCGAACAAGTGAAACATTTTTTCACCACAAGAAGAGAAATCCGGCCATGTAATGTTCTATTTATTATATAAACACCAATGAAATACCAAACCATTTCACTTAAATAGTTTTTTGGTGTGAAAGGTGCAATTTATTATGTAGCCATAGCAACGGCGATATTTTCACACGTGAAGATAAGATGTTATTTTCACATGTGAAGATATCAAGTTTTCGCGTGAAAGCTTACCTGGTAGTTTATTGGTTTTCATATAATAACAAGTATTATTACCATTTGTTCATAATGTACAGATTATCAAAGGCTCTCTTTTTGCTATTTCAAAGCATTGACTTATAAGACCATTTTCAGCACATTATCTTAATCATGTATAGCACAGCACATCAGATTCTTCCAGATGTAGGGTACATGTCTTTAGAATGTTTACTATGAATTTTATGTGTCCCAGCTTCACATTGCTTTAGAATTCATGACATGATTGGAAAATAGGGTGAAAAGAGAGATTGAAAATTCAGGCTACAACACAATAATTGTTATCTACTTTAGCCACTACCAGGAACATGCCTTTAATGCTTCAAAAACACAAAACTAGCAATGTTTGAGTTTCTTCTTGTAGAAATTTGATGCAGTAAATTTTCTTTTGTAGCAGTAACTGTAAATACTGTTAATGTATACTAAAGCAGTAAACATTTTACACACTGTGAATCCTCTTTCAAGTCCTTCTCTCAAAAAACTTCCCTCAGAAATGAAACATACCAGTACAAGTTTCCCTGCCATTTTTACTTTCAGACCAATAAACAAAAGGCAGTTTACTAATTCTTCATGTATTAATTTTATGGTGAAATTTTTTAAACATCACTCCGATGCCTCTGACAGTCACTTTAGTCTGAGTGTTCCTCCTGTCTTACTAGTAACCCAAGTGTGCTTGAAGAAAGTAAAACCTCCCCCTCAAAGGGTGAGGCTTACAGGAGGATTTATGATAATTATGGTAGTTTCATTATTTGCTTGTCAAGGCTTATTAGAGTAAGTATGGTTTATCGGTGTATGTATTAAAATCCAAAAGAAATTAGCGGCATGATTTTAAACATTGTAAATAAATGTTAGTTTCAGTAATATTATTTGCGTTGTACCAATTGTTTCATGTTTTTGCAAGTATGACTCTTTGGATGTGTTCCTTTGAGATGATCAGGGGTCAATTTAATAAAAAAATTACAAGTGTAGTTTACAGTGTGGCCATTGTTTTTAACTCTGAAAACAATGGCTACACTTGTAAAAGTGTTTTTAAATTGACTCCAGGATCAGTGATCCAAGATCACTGATCGGATCATGTTGCATCAAATGAACCTATGAATCCACTCTGAACGAGGATTCATCGGTTTCTTTGATCTACCATGATCCAAGTGATCTCGGATCACTGATCCATATCTGGATCCCAAACGAACGCACCCTTTTACGATTTACGCAGTTTACAATAATAAGGTCTTGGAGACTGTCAGGCAGAAAACCTTTGCGAGCCTTAACACGACACAAACTGAGCGAACAACACTGATGCAAAAACCAGTGGTGGAAGGTAAAGCGATAGAGGATAGCCACTAACACCCACGATAGCTATTTTATTGATATCTTCACCTGGTGTGGGAACGGGAAAATAGATAGCAAAAGTAAAATAGTAGAACTGAAATGAATTTTTTGGCCCTATTGACCACCCTGTTTCATCTCAAATTGGGTCAAACATCAGAAGATCAGAAGTTGGCAAGAAATGCAGGGGTTTCAAATTGAAGGGGATAGAGGAAAATAACTTGAATGGTGTGCAAGAGAGGATGGAGGGGATGCTCTCCATCCCACATTGCCCTTTGTGTGCCTCCCACGCCCCGGGGAGATTACCTTAATCACAAGTGCAATATTTGGATTTCCCCTTGAACAGGGTTATATAATAAGGAGTTTTGACAACGTTTTGGGCAATTGCTTGGTGTTGCAGATTGGTGCAATTATCACAAAACAACTTAATACAAAAGATTGAAAAGACACCGTCAGTGAACAATACCCATACCACAACATACAAACAAATCAACAATGGTTCCGGTCCCGCAACACAAAGATGGGTACAATCACAAAATTACGTTATACCAAAGATTGAAAAGACGGATCATTCATTTACGTTTCTGGGAATCTGCCCACCGACCCCTCCCCTAAGCCAACACTTTGCCCTGAGTGAGAAGTAAGTGTTAATGTCGGCTTAGGGGAGGGGTAGGGGGTAGGTGGGCAGTGTCCCGAAACATCAACATTTTGCCTTTCACCACTGGGTAAAATAAGGGCTTTTGTGGCAGTACCCCACAAACGTGTGTCTAAATGTCCACCCCCCACCCCCCCAAAAAAAACAACAAATATAACGGAACAAAACACAACAAAGACAAACAAAACCTTTCACCAGATGTCAGTTTCTTTTCAAACCATGAAAACAAAAATTCAATCACTCCTTGAAACCACAAATGGGTAGTCCTTTAATGATAAATGTGAACAGTTTTCACAACGTAGTTTTACAACAAGAGACCCATTTCATGTCACAATAGAAAAGTATTATAAATTAATAAAAAATTTTATAATGAGGCTGGGTTTAATGAGACTTGGCAAAAAGAAAGGTGAGATTTTTTCACAAGTTCTTTTTAATGTTTCAAACCTTAATAGTGACATATATCTCTTTTTATGTTGTAGACAGATGTAATAAATGCATAATCCAAAACCTTTTGCTTTCAATATAAAAACCAAACCAAACGATTTGTCTATGTGGTTCTGACCTTAGAGTACTTTAATTTCATGCTATAAAAGGTTCTTTTCAAGTCCCGTGGACAAACAATTTCCAAACCATTCTATTCTTTTGGTACTCTTAAATATTACTGTTCTGTGTAAGATGAGATCTTAAGTCTCTGCATGAAATCTGTAAGTGAAAGTTCAAATGGTAGAAACTAACAGCACTTCAAAAACATTTCTCATGGTTCTTTAAAAAAGTGAGCAAATAGTTCTGTAGATCAGCATTCCATTGCATTGGTTTCTGCCAATCACTCACTAGCTAAGAAGACCTTACTAATGTGGAGAGTCTGTAAGCAAGCTCTCCAAATTGAGTTACAAGCAAGGCAATCCACAAGAGATTGGATGAGCAAGAGGGCTGGGGAATCCCCAGCTCTCAGGTCCCCTTTTGCATGCTGCTGATTGGCACCATTCTTTTGATATCCCAAAATTGAGACCTTGCTGGCAGGCTACTGTGAATAAGGAATTGAAAGAGTGCCTTGGTGGACCAAGGCCCTCTACAAGAAACATGGTTTCCTCACAAAGATTTTGAAAACCTGTTTCTGTTACCCAACTCTATTTCTGTTGAGCAATGTAGAAATTACATTAAACATGATGCGACTATTCTACAAGATAAAGGTTTTTTAAAACCCTTGTTTAACAACGACACAAATATTGTTAGATTTGACAAAAAAACCTGTTCACATAATTCTTGATAGGCAAACTTGACTGTGGCCTCGTGCTCAGATTCTTTTTTTTCAAATACATATGCAGCACTTCCAAGGTTGCAAACAAAATGTTCACAGTAATAATTTATATCATTGTGGATTAGTAATTTTTTTTTCAGGAGATTCTCTGACAAAATAAGCCCCTTCCAAAACATGTATAATTGATTGGTAAAAAAATACACTTCGGATATCAACATAACAATAAATGCCACAAGTTAACCCCATTTGTGAAACTGGTCACCAGTAAAACCTCTTCCTGCAAAAAATTCCACACCTGCCAACTACACATGGTTCCCTTGGTAATAAAGCAACCAAACTTCAAACAAAATGAAGACACTGAGGTCTTGACTAAACATACACATAAATAAGTATATGCCATTTATGCAGGCTTTTCATTAGAAGGGTCAAAAACTAAGCGGGGGTCAATTTCATAAAACTTTTACATGTGTAATTTACAAGACAGTGTAGCTATTGTTTGAGAGTATGAAAACAATAGCCACACTAGTAAATTAGCCCAGTTCTCAATCCATAAAAGTCAAAGTACCTTGTAATGCTTTTTGTCACACTGCAATTTGGTTGTTGCATTTTTTTTTCTTGGGGGAGGCTTAGTCAACTTGTGGCATTTATGTTTTTAAAAAGATAAGTATCACAAATGACGGTAGTCAATTTTTGGGAAATTCATGGTTGCTATGTCTGAAGTATTGTCTTTCAAAAGTAATGGTTTTTGTAAATTCCCACCCTCTTCAAGGGTTTGAAGGTTACTGGGAATGTAGCCTGCAGAGTTGCCTGCATTGCACACGTTCTAACCCTTCTGTACTATTCAAATAGTTTAGACAAGTGCATGGGCCGGCTGCAACGTAGGCGCTTGAAAGTAATGGCGCAAGAACGAATGGAGCAGGCTTCTGCAAATGCAGCAAAATTGCAAGTTTCTTCATGCTGCCTCAAACCTAATGGTGTTTCTTATTTCTTCTTGCCCAAACCATATTTTGTTCTTGTAGCTAACATGATGTACTGGTACTCTATATACACAATATTATTGAATAGTTTGCATGTCTTGCAAACCATACGTACATTAGTTTAGCAGACATATTCATCCTTCTGGATTTTCAAATAAAAATGAATTTATACAAAAGTTATGTCTTCACTCAGTCAAAGGCAAGCTTAAAAATTTACAAATTAATTTACATTTTGTTGTGACAACTTTCTGTAAAAAATAATCCCCTGGAAATAAAAGCTTGTAAATGTTCACTCTTAAATTTATAGTTGCCCCCTTTGGGAGTTTGAGTGTGGCAAGACTTTTGCAGTGTACTGTACTATATCAAGTGACCAATGTTTCATGGGCAGTTGGTATAAAACTTTACTGCAAATCCTTTTTCTGTGGACACAATTACTGTAATATATGTGTTCCAATCTAGTTATGCAATTAGAATGCCCAAGAAGGCCCAAAGCAGAGAGGCTAAAAGCCACACTTCTGCATGATGCTGGGATGCAATATTCCTTCGTTTTCCAGGACTGGGTTTCCCAACTCCTCCACCAAACACATTATCACTTGCTTCCTCATCATCAACTAAGTTAGTACCTGGATTGTCAGTGACAGAGTTTTCTGGCATCTCTGTAATCTCATTTATTCCACTCCCTTCATCTCCACTCCCACTACCACTACCACTCCCTGATCCACTAACATCGTTGTCTATGATTTCTTCTCCATTTATCGCTGCATTCAACTGATCTGTTATTTCTTTAAGTTTGACAATTGCTTGGTGTACTTCTCGTTTTATGTCTTCTGTGATGTCATTCCCTCCATCTCCAGGGCTTGTGTAACTATAGATATGGAGAGGTGTCACAATATTTTAATACAGTAAATCCTCTATTAAGCCCCCTCTCTCAAATAAGCCCCTCCCCCCCCTTTTCAGAGGAGGAGGAATTTGCATTCACAAATGGAAGCACAACAAGCCAATTCATTTTTTATTCTTTTCGTCTACAGATTGCTATTTCTAGTTTAGCCATGTGTTAGCACACGTATGGCTCTTACACGTAGATATACATTTTTTATCAACTAAGTTAATTTGCAGTCTGTCTACTTTGTTATGTACAGTCTTGGTTTTGTACGCTGGTGGACGGCTGGTTACGTCGTGCAAGTCCCCGATACAGGCCTCTATGGTTGGTGTAAGTAATTCCTTCAGGAGTTATCCTAGCAGACCTATATTTATTTAAGTTGCTATTTCTAGTTTAGCCATGTGTTAGCACACGTATGGCTCCTACACGTATAGATATATATTTTTTAGCAACTAAGATAATTTGCAGTCTGTCTACTTTGAATTGAATTATGATGATGATTGGATGCTCTATCAAAGAAAATGTTTTTTAACAACACATAAAGAAACCAGGTTACAATTTAACCTTGGGTTAGCACTAATCAGCCTCCAGACTGGTTTCAGACAGTGATGATCATTGGTTGAAAACTAAAAACATTTAGGCATAAACGACAACACAAAACCATTGTAAATTAATGTACAAAGCTGTTGGGAAGATAGCGTTAAATTATACCAGCAAAGTATGTTTGCATATTTTGTCAACTGATGCAATTTTCTCATCAAACACACAAACTAAACTGTACTATTAAGGATGTGAAATTTGTTAGGATAAAAAATAAGGGAACGGCTATGCATTCAAAAGCTGGAATCTGTTCAAATTATTTTAAGTTCATACCAGTAATATTTTTCTTTCAAGAATGTTTAAATTGCTTACCTCCCTTTTCCAACACCATTCCAACAATCAGAGTTCTGTTTGACAGAAATGTCACCACAAACATTATCTGGAAGAGTACTCCAAAAGTTATCTGCGGCTTTCATTTTTGATTTGAAACTGCCTGTCAGTCTAACGATCAGAAAGAAAAATAGATAAGGGGCCGACCATTTAACTCTTGAGGGGGGGTGGGTGATTTTGAAAAAAAATTTCCTGCAAGCGCTTGTCGGAAGAAAAAAATTGCATGCAGCACAAATGTAATAGAGAGCTTATGGGGAAAAAAAGGGAAAAAATATCCTGCCCACCATATTGCTAGAAAAAAAAATTCTTGATGACCAGAAATCACCCACCCCCACCCTCAAGAGTTAAATGGTCGGCCCCTAATTGAATTGCGAGTATAAGAACCAAAAACAGTCCTTAACTAGTAAAAGGATAACACTAAGAAATAACTGAATAAACAGAGCTGTTTTTACTCTGCACTCATTTAACTTTTACCACTGCCATTGGGAGGAGGGGTATAAAGTTTTCAGTTTTGCTGTTTGAGCTATTTTTGGAGGTTGCTGGGGAGGGAGGGGGGGGTCTCAAAAAATGCAAGTATTAGCCTAAACTACAATTTCCAAAGGGATGGGAGGTGGGGGTGAATGGATACGTTTTGAACAACAATTTGTATGTTTTCTTATTGTTATTGTATTGTTTTTTCACCACCACCAGCAACCAGGGTTGTCAGAAAGTTTTGACATAGAAAGCTGAGTTGTCAAAGTAAGTGGCGAGTGCAGGGATATTTTATTTGAAAAACACCATCTGTAAAGAAATGCCAAGCAGAGTAGCCGGCCGATACTAACCAAGTAAGTGGCGATTTTCGCTGGCAGCCAGCTACTTTTGACAACCCTCAACAACCCCATTACAAAGTGAGTAACAGCAACATGCAGTTTAGCCACATAGATATGATGTTTTTAACATTCAGATGTCATATTTTAAAGACTGGTGACCTGGCTTTGTGCTTTCATTCAAACTATGAAAGCCTCTTTCACATTCAGATGTAACGTTCAACCATTAAACTATTTCATAAAAGGAACAGTAATTACTTGTCAAAGCTGCCCTTTGAAGAATCCGTTCTTGCTAACGTCATCATATCACTATTTCTTCTCTGTCTATCGCTTCCTTCAATAAAAAAGTCAGCTGTAGATCTCTTTGATACCCTCGGACTACCACACTCTGCAGCTTGGAAGACCTACAAAAATAGCACAGATGAACTATGCTTTTGAACATGTACCTATAGCCCTTTAAGCCCTAAGAGCAATCAGCATCAAATTTCTCCTTGATATATCTACGCTTTGTAAAACAGAGTGGTCATGAGAATTAAGGACATGATCACACTAGATAATTCTAATTGATACTTCAACAAATTCTCCCCACTACTTCTACTGAGAACTTGTAGGGATAACAAATGAGAATTTGAATTTTGATCTTAGGGTTTAAAGGCTTAAACAAGCCTCCTCATGTCAAGAATTTATAACTGCCCATAGTGCAAGAAGCTGACGCTGGTTTGAAATGCTTAAGCAAAACATACTGATCTAGGCACTCGGACAAAACAAATTTCTTGAAAAAAACTTTTTTGTCACAGCCTCTAGCTTAAAGAAGCAGACAACAAAATTAATGGAGTCACATATTGCAAACAGGGTTTGTACTCTTTTGTGCTCTTCAAATTTCATGACTTTTTCCATGAGTTCTTTAAGTTTGCCACAACCTTAGGTTTAGCTGTCACTAAGACAACTTTCGAAAACGTACTTGCGTAATTGTTTTAGGGTATTTTTTTACCCATCTAAGTTTAAAAGACACTGCGAAATGAGCATTTGCTCTTGAAATTGTAAATTGTAAATATCTTATTATCCACTCCCCACAGGGCTTTTCAGGGATAATTTACAACACCGGTTGGGGGACTTTGCCAGACTGCTTAAGGTGCAGTTTACAAGTAATGAAGGAATGAGTAATGATGCCCCCACACATGAGTGTGAAATTGAGATAGACCACTACACCGGGCGCTACGTGCCCTACTCTTTATGAGGAGTGTGTGGGTTCTTTAACGTCCCACAAATTTATTACATGTGCAAGGGCTTGTGAGACGGGGCCTACGGTTTATCGTCCTTATCCAAAAAGACTAGAAAGTCTAACCATTTGCAGATGTTGTTACAAAGGCAGCACTTTCTCCTCAGTTATTTAAAGATCCTGAGTGTTGGTCCGGCCGGGGTTTGAACCTATGGCCTTCCGCTCAGCAGACCGGTGCTCTCCTAACTGAGCTAACCGGGCGGCGGTTAGCTCAGTTTTGTTTTGTTTTGGTCCAAATAGCAAGTTATGAACTGCAAATTGACCAATCGCATGGCAAAAACAGACTTAGCCATATAATAAATTTAATTTATTACATAGACACGAGCGTTTTACTGGAAAATATACCACTTGTAAAATTCATAAAAACTACATCCGGGACCCGAGTGGTTTATTTTCCATAATCTCACATGTGAGTTTATCGATGACGTAATTTCGGTAATTTCCCTCTATTATTTTATTGATGTCTTTTTGTTTATATAATAAAAAGAACATTACACGGCGACTTGAAGATTTGAATTTATTTTCTCGTGGCAAAAACAATAATTTACTCACTTGCTGCGCTCGTTAATAAAATATTGTTTTGCCACTCGAAAATAAAATTGATATCTTTGCGCCACCGTGTAATATTCTCTATTTATCTTTTGCAAGCATTTTCTTAATTCTCATGACCGCTGTTTTTTATAACACTGATGATCTAAGAAGGAGATATACAATGCTAATCACTCTTGGCTTAAGGACCAAGCAAACACAAGCCAACACAGTGTTGTGGAAACCTCTTAATAAAATGCCAAATACATTCGGTATGCTCTTTACTATCTTGGCTTCAATTAAATAGGCAAAACAAGAGCAAAACTTTTCAGAGAACCAACTAGTCCATTTCCTTACCTTTTTCTTTACTTCTTCCATCTTTTGTGAGTCCTGAAAGTTCATGATTCCTAGAGAAATCTTTAAGTTTAATCTAGAAATCACATCTTGTATGTTGGTAGGACCAGTTTGTTTCTCCAAGAGGTCATTCAAAGCTCCAATGTAGCCCTGCCATAGGGTGTTTACTCTGGTGATGTCCACTAGACAACTTTTGTGTACATCAGTGCAAAACTTATAACAAGGTTTCAAGGAAGTCATTGCTTTGCACCATGAACAATACTTGAGTTTGACAAGGTGATTCTTACAGTTTTCAGAGGCAGAAACAGCAGTTTTGAGCATGTGAATAACATCTCGACCGTCAAAGAGAGCTTTGGAAAAAGTTCTGGCATGGATTAACACTTTCCTAATTTGTGGCTTCAGTTTTTCTGGTACCTCTCCAAATGGTCGCAGCTCATCAACTTGTCGCGATACGCAGCTAAGGTATGACTCAGTGAACTTGTACTGAGTGTTCATTATCTGAAACATGCGACCCATAAGCTTGGTGAAAAATGCATCCATTATGCCATTGATGTCAGACCCAGTTGTTCCCCTGTAATAACTTGTAAGGTCCACAAAAAAGTCCATGAATAATTTTGTGTTTTGCTCATAGTGCACGCCATAAATCTTTTTGAACGTTGAGTCTAAATCCTGCTGAGACTTCTTGATGAGTTCCTGGAAGTAATCTGAAGAAAGTGAAAAAGTAACAATGGAGGTCAGAGACAAGCTAATGTAGGTGCACCTTTCCAGCAGAGCCTTAATCTTGTTTGCTCGCTTTTGGCGCACTCGAGAAAGGCTCTGCATGAATGGAGTAAGATCCTTAAGGAGCATGCGCGGCATGTCAGGGCTCAAAATAATGGCTGGTTAACAGACAATGTCCGGGCTGATTGGGAAGTTGACCAGTAAACCTTTCGCCTTGCCAGTCAGGTTGACCAGTCACACTGGATCGTATTAAAAATGAAATGAATTAAAATTTCCATGCTGTTCAGTTGTTTTAGTTGTTATCAGTAGGTAGCAAGTCACTATGTACTGCGGAACTTTGATCTGAAATGGTCGGTGAAATGCAACTAGAACCATTGTTTATAATTCACACATTGAAACAGACATAATTGGGGTTCACACACTTCAAGTCCCAAAAGTAAAAAGATTTTCACTTTTATTAGTTAAGCAACGACTAATTGGAAATACATAACGCCAGTTTTGGTTTATTGGCACTTGTTTTAAGAGTTACTTTTAGCCTTAAAATTTGGCCTTCCAGAAACGATACTCGACCAAGCTAAAATAAATTTGGCCGGTCATTGTGTCTGGAGACTCTCCAGAAATTATTTGAGCCCTGCATGTTGCTAGGATATTGTTTTGCACCCAGGCCAGGATACAAAGAAAGTCAGTTTTAGTAGGTAAGTAATAACTTTATTTAACGAGGGTAAAGACATTGATTACTGGTCACCCAGTAGTTTTCATAATGGCCCTCCCACAATTAAAGTAATAAAAAGTATCGATTAATTAATTAACTGCCAATATAATCTACCAACTAAAATTACATAATAAACTACTATTAATACAATATTGATTAATTGACTACTAATGAAACTTGCCAGCTTGCCATTCATACAAGCTGTAACTAGCATGTACTAGCCCAAAAGTAATAGTGCTTCATTTGCCCATCAGGCAAGTTAAAAATAGAATACACTAGCCTGATAGTAAAATCCACAAGCCTTGGGCTGTTCGAGACAACTTTCTTTGCGCACTGTAGGCCTAATAGCTGTGTGCCTGCTACAGTGGGTTCAGTTTTGCCCATCACTTTATGAGTGAAAGGGATACTCGCAATAGAAAAAACAGTTTTACAATAGAAAACAACTTGTCTAGTCTGGAAGTTTGGGCTGCAGTGACCTCAAGGGCTGGATGCAATTCAGACAGAGTCTACTTTTCTCTTTTTTACTCAAGAAAGCAAAAAAAGGCTCTGCTCAAAGGTGCTGCAGGTGCTTTGAAAAGAAAATTGTATCTGGTATACAGAATTGACATGTCATTTAACTACGTAAAGGTCTTGATTGTAACAGAACAACAATATGAATTATGAAGTGATTGCTGTGCTCTAGCAGAGCCCGGTGGCCCGTGGCGCCTAACTTTTGCTCTTGGGCGACTAGCAAATCTTAGTTTTTTCATACAAATCATATGCTGGGCACCCTAGATTTTACAGTTTCAGAACACTGGGCTCCCTTCAATTTTCCTTAGAGCACAGCCTTGTTAAGGTTCAAAAGAGATTGTATAAACCAAGAATACCAGGATTCAACAAACAACCTTTACATCATCCCAAATAACTAATTTTATTGCATGGTTTCTGTCGTTACTTGTTTGGCAATTATTCCCATGAACTACCAGAATGATTCAGGGTTTTTCTTTCTTGTGCAAATTAAGGTCTTTGGTATTTAAACCTCACTGGGATTACCAAAACATGAAAGAAAATTTAATTACAGTACAGGGCTCAAACTCAGTTAGTGAGAGTTATAGATGTTCTTTGAGGATCGGTAATGCATGATTGTGTCCAATACTGAATGGCAGTTTACCCCTTCTGGCCAATATCGTTTGTTTTCTCAGAAATAAACTTTTAACGAGTTAAAAACTGCTAGAGAGACTTGACTGCTGGAAGGGGCAGTTTTGGAAAATCTAGAACTCCTCAGTTACATAACAATACATATACCACATGCTATAGAAAATGAATTTCCCACAATTGATTTTTAATAACAGTGAATTGAACGCTAGTAGTATTCATTGATATCCAAATGCCAGAAAATAAAAATGTCTAGCAAGTCAGACAAGAGCAGGTGATGGCAAAAGTTGTGTTCAGGGTTTTCATTAAGAATTCTAGTAGATGGAGAAAGGTGTAACATTATAGGAGAATAATGTGACAGAGGTTCCATGTCTGAATAAAAAATAGTCATAGGCTACCGAACGTTAGCTGGAGAATTCTGCCCTGAGTAAACGGAGAGTTCTCTGATCTCTGATGCCTAATTAACACCCTGTGTGTTGGAAAATGTGTACAAGCATGATATACAGCTGTCATATTAACTAAAAATTAGGTACAAGATTACATCAGTCCTGTGATTTAGAATTTTGGTTCACTCTGTGAATACAAACAATACTGTACGCAATATTTATAATGTATACAAATATTAAGTTGTTTTGTGTTTGACAATATTATTTAATTTTCTTTTGGGCATATGTTAATAATTAAGCTTATTGGTAGTCCAGAAGTGTTGTGAACATGAAACTTGAATTGGTGATACTCAGTTTGAATCAAACATAATCAAAAATAATGATTTATTCAACTGAATCCAAATGACAAATTTACTTGGATATACACACAATATCCAAAAGGAAATGATGCTATACTAGCAATAAATAACAATATTGTTGCTCCTAATTTTTTTTACTGTCATCATCATGATCATCTTCGGACTGGGCACTTTTAGCTTTTTCATAGAAATCCTATGCTGGGCAACCTTGATTTTTCCTTTTGATTTTTCTTAGTGCAGAGCCTCGATCAACTTCACTGAGTTTTAAACTTGGTAGAAAAAAAATTGATTAAAAATGCACTTCACTTCTTAGCAACTAAATTTAAGATGACAAGCTAAAAGACTACATCATTGTTGAAGCAGAAACACCTTTTGCTTTGGGAAAAAAAAAACTGTCACTTTGCAAAAACAATATACTACACAATGATCTAAAAATAATTATATGACATCATTAGTAATTCTGGTTTTGCATTAAACTGTAAGAAATGTTGCTAAGGTTGCTGTTTCATTGTGACTCCCATTTTTTAAATATAGAAAACATATCTGGTGTTTTCTAAATAAACTTGCTCGGATCAAAACACCAAAACAAAAAAAAGAATTTGTTTCAAAATTCAAAATAATAATGATTATGATTTGTTAAGAACCTAATGAATAAAAAATTTTTCTTGTGTATCCATGGTTGTCAGCAATGGCTGGTTGCCACTGGATACTACCACCAGCTTGCTGTCTTTGGCCAGCTAAGCACCCCCCAACCTCAAATGGGCTTGAAAAAAATAAGCTGCCTGGGAGGCTTTATAGAGGATTTAAGGTGATGTAATAACCCATGTTCCATATATTAAAATTCTAACATGACTCCAAGGCTTTCTGGTCATATTTGGTTTGGTTTTCTACGTGCTTAAGTCTCTTCTGGCAATTGTGAGAGAGTGGACTTGTGGAAAAAGTGCATTTTTGACCCTAAAACCTGGGAGTCATGTTAGAATTTACATGAACCTAAGGTTGACTATTCATTGACATAATAGCTACCATTTATAGATTATCAAAAACTAAATGAATAAAGAAAACCTTAGCTGAATAGGGCAAGGGATAGGATCTCCAAGCCATTCACAATTCCCTCCTGGGATTACAAAACAACTATCTGTTAGCAAACCTCATTTTACATCACTGATGAAGTTCAAGCAATTTAAACAAAATATTTAATTTTTAGAAATTGTTACTCTAAGTTTTGGAATTTATTTGCTAAATAATGTTATCTACTAAAAAACGGAGACTTATCCACATACTTTCTTTAACTTCAAAAACTACAGTATAAAGACTGTCATGAAAGGGTTAAATACATGAAATTCTTTCTCTGCGGATTATCCAGTTTTCTGCACTCGTCAAACACAAAAATTCATAATTTCAATACCATCTAGGATACTTGCGAACATGACACCACAAAATCGTTATTTATTCTACAATTTGTTTGCTTACGAAGGCAAAAAGATTGCAGGTAACCAGCTGTGATTAAAGTTGTGCAAGTATTTTCCATAATGCAAAAGATAACATTCTTCATGTGTCTAGACACTGACAAATTACACTGCAAATTATGATGAATTAGTAATTTCAAGATTTCCACTACAATGGTCCTACACAACACACTGCAAACATAGCAATATTCAAGGCTGCTACCATCAGAGGTTCAAAACTCTCCTTTTGAGTTAGGCATAGAGGAAACTCCACATTTGTTTCGTTTTGCTTAAACTGTCCCTGGTTAGATTTCGAAAGTGTGGATGTGCGCCAAATGGGTTTTGCTAGTTAAGAATTATGTAATAAGTGTCCATTTAAACTTAAGATGAGGTGCTAAATTGAAATGCGCCAAGCGACGACATTTTGACCTCGCCACGCCGTACAACGCTGTAAAAAGTGTGTTTGCATTTCATAATTAGCAATGTGTATTTATAATAATGTGCTTTAATCCAATTAAGTTCCAATTCCGTTAGGCAAGACCTCAAAGAATCAGTAATTTCAGTAAAGTCTTCATGGTTTACCAACACTTTCCTCGAACATGTCGGAATTAGGAAGGCCGCAGCGAGAGTTCACTTCCGCGATTAATCATAAACCTTCTTTGTAACCGACTTATATTCAAGGACCTGACAAAAAAAACATCAGAATCTCTGATACAAATGGTTTGGCATTATTTCAGCTCTACCACAGTACAGAAAAATCTAGTACGTCAAAGAAATAGTGTTTAACTACTTAAAAATATCGTTTACATAAAAGTTCACGGCCAATATTTCGCCTATGTTTGGTCGTAAATTACACCTTTGAAGAGTTAAGAATGCGTAACTTTCTCCCGATTTGAGATTTCAGCGAGTATCTTATCTCAGCAATATAACTGGATATATAATTTGGGTTCATGCACACATTGTTAGCCGAGTAAACCACGAATCCATGAAAACAATCGAAGATTAATAAAAAAAACCAAAGATTTCATCTTTTTTAATTTAAATGTACAATAGCCCCAGGCGAATGCAACTGTGACAAACAAAACTCATTTTCTAAATTTACCACTCACATGTGATGGTTTTGTCCAACACGATTCAGATAAATGCTAAAGAAATAACAAACTATTCTTGTGACCTCTCGAAGGGGGGGTTTTCTAAACGCTTGTTCCATAACATGCTCCCATGTGGTTACTGAACACTGATTTATAAACTTTATTGTTCGCACCCCCACTCAAGACAGCATGACATTCTTCTTGTATTGCCTCAAACGAGCACGATTCTCGCCCAAAAAAATTTCGTGAGGTAGCAAATGTAACATAACACCGACACTTCAAACTTGTGGAAAGACTTTGCGTCGCTCCGACACGCAGATCTGCCGAGTTCATTTCAAAATGGTATCGCAGCCTTTTGTGATTAAACTTTCGCGCCGTGAAACGTGCAAGCGATTTTAAGGTTTATGAAATGGACGAAAGAAAAGGATTTTTAAGGAAGCGTTCGTTTCATTGTGGTAGATTAACACACGAAACTGATAATTTTTAAGCTTGTTTTCTCCGACATTCCAAAGAGATATGAAGATAAGGTTACATGGCAGTTTTTGAGAGCTATGTTACTTCCAACACTGCCGCAAGTACGTGCAAGTTTACTCATTTCTCATCGATCTTAGATCTACGATTCGCTTTCCTAAATGACCACTAACAAGAAAAAAATTACTTATTTTTTCTTGTTACAGCAATCAGGAGATTAAAGCGAGTCGAGCGACAGAAATGAGTGCCGTAATTACTGCTCAAGGCTTGTGGGTAAAAGTATCATGAAAACGCAGTCCTGTTTACTTTTGATTTTCGGCCAATTTCCTGTGCACCAAATCCCTTTCATTCTATATTAGGCAGGCTGACCTTTACAAACCCTAAAAATGCCAGAGGCGAAATGTTTATACGCGTCATCTAAGAAATAAATCGAAAACGAAGGGGTAAAAACCGGGAGAGAAAAGCATAATATTACAATAAAACGAAAGCTTAGCTTATTTCACACAAAGCTGGGCTCAACTCGGCATGCACACGCCAAATGAGTCTCCATTAGCGGATTTTTCAGTCGCAAACTTAATCCACACTCTTTCACACTTTGTACATTTTACTGCGAACAGCTTACCGTCAAATATTTTGGCCTGGACGGCAAAGAGATTCCCCAGTTCTTCAACTTTTTTGGACACCGCTTGATCGAAGTCGCCGCGCGCAAGGCTGGCGAAGCGATCTTCCATTCTTCGCGAGCAGCATTGCTTGCCGTTGTCTTTAGGGCATATACGAAGGTCATTTCCTAAAAAACAAAATACAGTTAGATATCATCAAACTGAAAGTTGAACTTGCCTAAATACCACCCCATGCAGGGTAATACACCTAAAACAAAATGAGGAAATCACAGAAAAGACCACATATTCATGAAGCACTCCTCCGTTGGTATGGCACTAACAAATGCTTACCATCAACGGCCGATGGAGGAACCTCGCTTTCTGTCAGCCTTTTCGATCTCCACGCGCTTTTCACTGTTGAACACGACAGTTCTTGACCAAAACCAACAGAAAAGCAAACGAACACAACGAGCATCAACCAGAACATGGCCATTGTCGCTGTATTACCAAAATCTCAGAAACGTAATGAACTGTCGGCGGCCCTCAAAACCTCTTCCACGACCGCGAGCTCTGGTTCGCGTTGGTTCAAATCACTACCTCAGATCCGTTCTCAAACAAGTTCTAAAAGTCAAACAGTAAACGTTTTACTAATTCTTAACAGTAGGAAGGCAGTAAAAAATCACTCTTCCCGCTGTGCTCTGTGATCTCAACAGCGCTAATTGCAAGCCTTGTATTCGTTGACAAGCTTGGACAATTACACTGTGCATTACGTATTCAAAGGCGGGACCTACTTACCCCGAGCCAATCAAAATTCAACTGCATGATTTTCCACAAATCACCCGCCTTATTTATATTTACGTGTTCTAAGCCGACTCTATTCTACCCAAATACAATGAATAGAACAGATTCTAGAGAAACAACGATTACATCGATCCAAAAAGAAAAAAAGTATTTATTTATTGTTATGAGCTGCCGTCGCAACCAAACTGAGGAGCAACCCTGCTAATTTTCGCAGACTTAAAACAAACTAACTTAATTTTGCTGATAAATAGTTTTGTCAATGTATCAACAAAGAAAAAATGTAGACAATGACTATACGCCATGCCCTTTGTATGAATGAAAAATTACGTATAAGATTTTCGGCCCGAAAAAGCAATATTCGTTTTCAAGGTGTTAATGACATTCTTCTTTGTTGCCCAAGTTTATTCCTGAAAACTCCCTTAATTTTTTATGTCTGCATTTAAAAGGTCTCTTTTATGTTTCAAAAACAGGTGAAATGTACCATTCGGGTTACATAGTTTTTCATCTTGTTTCCAAAAACAGCCATAAACTAACAGAGTTTAATGCGAAAAGATTAACAGGTTTGATTTCTATTGTTTTAAGCACACAACACGGAGGAAGTTATTAACATTTTTTGGATGGGAAAAAGTGAGCGAAACATTTGAAGCACTTCATTTTTTAGCTGATTTAAAAGATAAAAATGTTTGTAGGTACCTTAAGTTCTCATTTAAGTTTTTTAAAAGCGTTGAAAAGTCATCAAGCACCTGCAGAATTTCGTCGGCGATGAAAAAGGTTTTCTTTTTTGTTCCTGAAAATGATGAGGTCATGTATGTTGAACGTGACTTGGGTGAAGAAAATTTAAATGAGGTATCTGCTTAAGTCAGCTTATATCATTACTGAAACAAAAACTAAGCGTGAGTAGATACGAATTTGGACTTAGTTCATCCTATCAAGCAAATAAATCTGGTCAAATTAAGGAAGCTCACAAAAAAAACCCGACAACTCTTAAAGTGCTTTGTAATTTTATGTTTGTTTCGTCAATTTATAGCTCATAAAGTAAGCTTTTTTACAGATTAACAAAGATGTGAGACTTTCCTGATTATGTACAGTATTCCTAAACTGGAGGCTCTAATTTGGCGGATGTTTGTAAGTAGCGGATGATGAAAAAGTAAAAAAAGCATTATTCCACAATGCTTATACTCGTATAACACATTACTGTTTCTGCTTACCAGGGGTTTGTGTGAGTGGTGATGTAGAAAATATCTTAATATTGAGCGCCGGTTTAAGGGCGGGTCATCCGTATCATATCCCTTCACATTCCTCTTCTACCGGTTGCTGGTTTGTATCTTTAAAATTTTTAATGGCAAGGTGACAATATTATTTGCATAAGAATATGGTTAGTGATACTGTTGACTTTGCTCTTAAAGCTGCATGGCCATTTGACAAGCTGGTCCGCAGACACCCCCTGAATTCTAGCGTTCAATGACTATTACAATCGATACAACGCCGTGGAAACAACAAAAAACTACACCACATAAAACATAACAAACTATGGTTTACAAGCCTTTATTTGAGCACTCAGACACAAATAAAAAGTTATGTTACCCTACCCGCGCCCGACCGTACCATCTTCAGTACAACTGGGTCACAATTATGCAATCTCCTCTTACTCAGTGTTGTGTGAAATGTAAGAGCTTCACCAAGGAAGGCATTAGCTCTAAATCTGCTTTGATGCTATTAAAGGTTTACTGAAATCTATTTAAGGACGGCGTTTAAACCGGTGCCTGATCACTAAAGAGTCATACAGTATATCATTGTACATTCTGTAAACAGTTTAAGAGCAGTGTAAGAGTCAAAGCACACATTGGAACTCGCTAATCAGTGGCTCCTACGACTCCTACTAGCTTCAAAGTTAGACTGACCACTTGCTCCTTTAAAGCAAAAGAGAATTAAAAGAAATTCCTACCATGAAGCTTTTCAGACATGGGGGTCGCGCCGAACAAGGTCACAACGTCACAGCGCTAATATACGCCCTCCAAGGTTAATGGACAGAACACAACACCACAGTCCATTAGTCTCGCCCCAAAACTAAGGAGAGGATTCATAGTGAGTTGTGAAATCGTTTGCATGACTTGAGTCATTAATTTACACATTCTTAGAATCGGGAGCTTTGAAAAAATCCAAAACGATAAAGTTTGTGCAGTCATTGATATGATGAAATTTTAAGCCTTTTAACCTGATTTCTGTAGAACATTCTACCGGTTGAAGAAATTCAAGCTAAATTACTTAGTCTACTTAAGCCACTCGGCCACGTCCTCCTTCACAACCTGAGAAGTCAGTTAAAAATCTTACTAGTTTAGAGTTAAGCCGGTTTTCATAATAGCCTGGCAATTTTTGTCATCATGTTTAAAAGCTCTAGTGCAAATTTTTATCTTCAGTGATTGCCGTACGCCGAAAACTTGAGTGATTGTTGTTGCACAGAGGAACCTGACTAGTTTATCTTCATTTTATCGGCCCTGCTCTGTTATTATTATTTGTTCAAGATGTAACATGTTTGTTAAGAAAAGTGGTCATGTGACAGTGCATTTCCCGTAATCGTATGAACAAAACGGGGTCATTAGTGCATACCTTACTAGAAAAACAGTAAATTGATACTTTCGTCAAGAAGACTGAGGGGCCTAAAAAAGGAAAAACGATTCCTTTAGGTATATACACTTTGCTACTTTTTTAATTATTATTTCTTTCTCTTGATCTTCTGGGAGTAAGGATCGACCTCTCGTTTTCAACAATGTATCAATACTTTTAGAAGATCCGATTCCGCCTCACAGGTTTGTCGCTGTGGCCGGTAATTTGCTGCTATTATTGCTGTTTTTGAAAAAAAGTGGCTTGACAAAGTAAACACAGAAATTCACATCGAGGCTCAAAGGATTAACCAAACAGTTTTATTTCCGTTTTCTGAAGCCCAATAATTTGAAGTATGCAAAAAAGGCCATTACAACGACTACTGTGTAAATCACGGAAATACAACTGAGGAGAAATAAGTCGTATTAAGGATAGGCCGATTGCTTAGTTCTGAACCAGATTTCCGTCTTGTTAAAACTGCACAACTGGCTCAAACCAGGCGTCTGATGTGCAGTCCAGTTACTGAAATGAGTTGTCTGAACTGCGGTAAGTATGTTTCTGTGATTTAATTCTGTTTCTAGTGTTCATTAATAGGAAGGTTGAAGCAGCACCTCGCGTCATATAGAGTGTGGGAAGTCCCATATATACCCGAGGAATAGCAGAATAAGCAGCAAACTCGAGCGTTTGTGAAAGTCCACTTAGCACTTGCGCGGTGAAGAGACGCGGGAAGACGCGCCGCGAGTCTACTGTACTCTCCCTGATGAGGTAAATGACTAATCTTCGTCTAGACACCCCAGCATGCATTTGTTTCGCTGTCTGTACTTTAAACTTACAAATGACGTCTGCATAAGTCTCCTTTACTGCGAGGAGAAGCGGAACCGCTCGTCTCTCCCTGAGAAAAGTAAGGGACTAATCCTAGTCTAGTAATCACAATGTTCACCAGCTGTTTACAAAAGTTCAACGTACAGCCTTGGTACTTCATAACTGTAAGCGACTTCTACCGGTCAATATCTATAGATGGGTTTCAAACCCGGCTTCAATTGTGACGTACACAGGAACATTGAGAATTAATTGTACCTCTTTACTACGAATCGTCACGTCAGTGATGGGGTAATAATGTTACGGTGCACATGCGCACTATGCTGACCACACGACGGAGAATTAGAAGGTAGCACTTCCCCCAGTCAGTGATTGGCAAACTGACAGGTTGATTATGGTCTGCCTGGCGACAAAAGAGTGTATTCAAAGACCTCTTAAATATGGCAATTGATAGAAAATTTCTCAATCCTAATATATTCAGCGAGCCAGAGATGAAATGATCGTATCTTATCTAAACTGATTAAACCTACCAATTATTTAATAAAAATTCAATAATTTCGAATTCGGAAAAATATTTTTTTGCCATATTGAAGCACCTCCGGGCATTTTTTAGACTGAACAGCAAACCTGAGTAGCCGGAAAATTTTCAAGTGAGGCATCACAGATTATTTCATATTCATATAACAATTAAAGGTCCATGTGGTTGAAACATTGATTATTATCTTGTGGTGGTTGGTACTCCAACATCTATTATTCTGTTATTTCGAATTACAGCTTTAATTCTAGGACTGACTCCCAAGGATTTTCTCATTTTCATAATGGTTCATCTGTGTACTTATATATATATATAAATATATATATATTAATAATCACAGGAGTTCAGGCTTCAGGAGTAATCATTGATCGTTTATTGCGACAGTGCTGTTTCGTATGGTCCGAAATTGTAGGACCACACTCATCAGGCAACTTCAACGATCGTTGAAGTTGCCTGATGAGTGTGGTCCTACAATTTCGGACCATACGAAACAGCACTGTCGCAATAAACGATCAATGATTACTCCTGAAGCCTGAACTCCTGTGATTATTAATAATCAATGCTCTTCAATTAAATGAATTGAGCGCTCTACGGAATACGTTCTACCCAGAATACAAGTTACGAAGCGAAGTAATGAATTACAATATAATTGCTTCTATTTCAACTTGTGTATTGTCAAAATGTCGTAGATATTCTTTATAAAGATAGTCTTAAAGACGAAAAAAATGAATTAACTGTATACGCAGTGAAATTACCGACAAAAAAACAAGGGTGGCTTAATTGCCCAAGTTTGTTGATTCCCTTCTTTTGTGAAAGTAAAGTGAATGAATCGACGTTCAAAAGAAGTTATTTTGCTGTTTAAACTGTAGTCACTCTCGTCTCTTATACGGTATGAGTTAAACAGAAGAACT